GTGAGGATATCGGTGTTTGTATTCCACTGTAGGCCTAGAAATTTGACAATTTCCGGGATCTTTTCTCCTTGTTGTTCCAAAAAGGCCTTGACTGTTGGATGGCTGGATTGAAACTCTCGGAGGTTCATTTTTGCTTCGCTGAAGATTTGTCGTGAGAGGTGATAAGCGTCGGTAGCTTCTTGGACGTCGGAACATTCGATAAGTACGTTATCGACGTACGAATTTTTTCGCATTGCTTTGGCCAAGGGATGTGGGTAGTGTTGGAGATGGTAATCCACGCAGGCGGCGAGGAGGAAGGGTGATGAAACGACTCCAAAACAAACCCGATTGAAGCGGAAGACCATCAGGTTGGCACCTTCCGCGGGTTGGGTGACGTCACGGACCCAGAGGAAGCGGGTACAGTCGCGGTCACGTTCGTCCAGTGATAATTGGAGGAAAGCTTTCTCAACATCGGAAAGCAATGGAATCTTGGTAACACGAAATCGAAGAAGCATGCCAACCAGTTCGGGGAGGAGGACTGGTCCGCGGAACATGTGGTCATTCAGGCTCTTTCCGTTGGGAGTTTTACAGCTAGCATCATAAACCACACGTAATTTGGTCGTGGTTTTGTCGGGGGTGATGACGGGTTGGTGGGGGATGTAATGGAGAGGTCCCTGACTCGGTTGATTGAGAGGGACTTCCTCGATAATGCCCTTGGTGAGTTGATCGGAAAAGATCTCACTATATTGTTGGAGGAGGGTTGGATTAGCGCTAAGGCGGCGGAGTGTAGAACGGAGTCGCCCGAGGCAACGGCCGAAATTGCTTTGAAGAGTGGTAGGAGTGCCTTTCCATGGCCATCGACAAACGTATCGACCTTCTTCATTACGAGTGACGGTTTTAAGGAAGGCTTCCATTGCGAGGTCGTCGTCGTTACGACTGGGGTCGTCGTGGATTCCCAAGTGTTCGAGGGTCCAGAATTTTGTGAGTAAGGAACTGAGCTGCTTTTGTTCCGTATGTTTCACGCAAATCGACACAGGCTCGGTTGAGGAATCTTTGGGGGTCTCCTCTGTCGGAATGGATATGTGGAATACTTGTGGGGAATGCTGGGTGGTGTATGCTGTATCACAAGTTGGGCAAAGAGTAGCATACTTGTCCTTACCGCCGACCCACTGAGAAATATCGGTGGGATCGGTGGGATTCGGGACAATCCTTTTGCTGTAAGAGGCCGGTTCACCACAGATATCACAATTTCCGAGCAGAGTATGACGGAGATCCGCAATGGCCCATAATGGAGCGAAGTTGTAGTTTGTCTTCGGCGTAGGATTGTCGAGATAAGTCCCGTTTAGGAGTCCTGTGACGATGATAGTCTTACCGAGGTCGCGAATCTTCTGGCAGACTACAGCCAATTCGGGGAAAAAATGGGCACCGTCGATGGCCAACACGTCGTAGGCATTCAGTAAGGCAATCGTACTGTTGAGGTCGGCGATTCTCATGCAGGCGTGGGTCTGGCCGTCATGAGTCACAATTTGGTTATCTTCGGTGTATCTGATGTCCGCAACGTGCCGTATTCTCAAGATGCGGGATTGCTCAGGAAACTCATTCAATTTTTCCAAGAGGAGAGTTGTTTTTCCTGACCACATAGGTCCAGCGATGGCGGTGATGGATCCTTCTGTTGTAGGCAGAGGGATCGCCATTTCCATCATGTAAGAATGGTGGGTATGGGCATTGGTTCGAGGCACTGGACTTGCCTTTCCTTCTCCATAGATGAATCGCCCTATCTTTGAGTGTGAGAGCTTGAAGCCCGAGGGGAGGTCGACTGGCTCTCCGGTGCTCCGACAGATGTCGAGATTGTCCATTCCGAGAAGGATGGAGGGCCGGACTTTCGTCACGGTCAGTGGCGTTTCATGGAAATCGGTAGGGAGGGCAGCCAGCATCGAACTGGTCATATTGGGAATGGAGAGAACGGAGATTTTGGTTGTCTTCTTTGGGTGCGCTGGATCGCGGATGAGTAAGTTGTACGTTTTGGTGTTGAAGGTCTCGCTGTGATCTCCAAATGTGTTGACGTTGACTGTGGTTATCTCGTCGGAGAGGGGTCTCAGTTTTAAGTTGGACGCGAGTTTTTCGGTGATGAAGCTGCGAGTGCTTCCGGAGTCACTGAAAAGAACAGCAGGTCTGCTTACCTTCGAGATGTCGGGGTTGATTGCTTCCACTTCGGTGGTCATGAGTAGAGTTGTTGATAGTTTGGGCTTTGGCTTGGTATTTGTCAGGAAGGCTTGTTCTGACTGGTCATTGTCGTCCAATTCATCTTCGTTAATAACGACATGAGTCTTTTCCTTTCGTGGATTGGAAGGCGGCCTAGTTTTAGCCGAAGGGGTGGTTTTGGCGGGTATCGGAGCAAAGGTTACTTTCTGCGCTGGTTTGCTTTTTTGAGCTGGTCTGCTTGGCCCGGCCGGGTTGTTACGGAAGCACATTGAGGAGTGGTGCCGTTGGTTGCAATGGCGGCAGGAATGTTTGGAGGGGCATTCGGGGACGAAATGTCCAGGTAGAAGACAATTGCGGCACAATTTCTTCAAACTTGCTTGTCGTTGTCGTTCTTGGGGTTCGCCATATTTGGAACACTTGTAGGTGAGATGTCGGCCTTCGCACAGGTGGCAGGAGGGCCCATTGGGATTTTTCTCGTCTTGGTCAGCGTTATAATGAGAGATCAATTGGTCGGGCCGTCGGGGTGTATTTGGCCGATTTGGGAGGCGTTTCTGGTCTCCATGGTTGTCGGAAATCATTCGATCGATATTTGCCTCTTTGCGGAGGACATCTCCTACGGCATCTAACATTTGTTTTCCTTTAGGGATGATGGTGGCATCCTTGTATACTTTTTGGAGTACGTAGCGCGGGAACTTGCTTTCAATGACTTGGGCTAGGAGGGTGGTGTCGGCTGGGTCACCCATGGACAGGAGTTGGGAGTACAATTGGTGTAGACGGGACCATCCTCGGTAGAGGTTGATGGATCCCTTGTCAAGGATACGGAATTGAAGGATTTCTGCGCGGAGTCTGTGGGTGACTCTGAGGGGGTCACCGTAGAGGTCCTTGAGGGTTTGGACGGCAATGTTGTAGTCGGCGTTAGAATTTCCAAGGTGGGAAAGTGCTGCTTTTGCCTCACCTTCGAGGCATGATCGGAGTTGGAAGAGCTTCAGGCACGGTTCCAACTTTCGGTTGTTTACCATGGCGTTGAACAGATCCCAGAATTCATTCCATCGGCTTGGGTTGCCGTTGAATTGGGGGATTGAGACGTTTGGAAGGAACAGGAGGTCCATCCAGCCGGGAGAGGGCTGGTTTAGTTCGGCGGGAGGGTTTACCTGAGTCGCAGGAGTAGCCGGCGTGCTGGGACGGGTCGGCGTGGTTGGGGTGGAGAACACGGCCTCATTAGAGGGGACGATGTCCAGTGTTCCCTCGCCATTGTCGTACAGGTCATTAGGGTCGGTCAGTTCGAGTCGGTTTGATGTGGCTTCGCGCAGAAGCCCGATGCGGAGTCGGAGGTGGTCGACGGCGGTGCGACCTTCCTCGACGAGGGGGCGGAAGTCTCCATGAGCGGTAATGTAGTTGTCGAAGGTGGTCTGTTCGGATGGGTTGGTTTCGATGATGCGTTGCCATTGGTTGTGGAGCTCGTCTAATCGTTGAACATTTCGGGATAGTCTTCGGAAAACATCATGGGCAGTTTCGAAGGTGTTATAGAGTTGCTCGTCATTGATTTCAGCGGGATTTAGGTCTATTTCCTTTTGGATTTGAAGGTAGGATCGGAGGGCATCTTGTAGGCGGCGTTTTGCCAAGCCGATTGCTTGGCGGATTTTGCCGGAAGGGGAGTCCATAGTTCGGGGGGACTTTTTTGAGTTGATATCGCCTTTTAGCACAAATCAGATAAGCACAGGTAGAAGATTCAGCAAGTAAAAGGATACAGGTAGAGGTTGGGATCAATCTTCGAAGCAGGGATCCTGCGTTGGGGACTTGCGCGTGGTCTCCGCGGTAGTTGAGCTTCCCTTTAGGGAGCTGACTTCTTAGCTACCCTTTTTTGGGAGCTGCCGTTGGTTTCAGAGGCGCGATCTAGGTCTACCTTTGGCGGACCTAAATCACGTCGGGGTCACCAAAAATTGTCACGGCCGGGAATAGGCTCGGTGACAATTTGGGAGTCGGCCGGCTGGGTTTGCCGACTCCTTTTGAGAATCTTACAATTCTCCTACCTTTTCGCGGGGGTGCTGGGGATGGCGACGTTGACTGACAACAACAACAGTTGATTTTGCGATATATTTATTGTGGGAATTTTCAGGCTTATATATTATCATCAAAAGGGCGGGATTAGCTGGAGTGTCCTAGGGCTGGGCCAAGGGGGTTGGGTCCGGCCCTAGGACACCTCATAAGTGGAATCATAAAGCAGGAGATACGGAGTGAATGATCCGTGCTTACTCAGGCGTTTGCACGGAAAGCGGTGATTAAGAGGCAGGGGAAATGAATGTTATGGCAATCAAGAATCTTCTCGGCCCAAATTAATCATCCAATCGGCCTATTGAGAGAATTCCTTTTTGCTATTTTTAGTATCGCGAGGGTGTCGCGACAAGCCCTTCGATTTTCTTCAAATCTCACAAACTAAATCTGAATACAGCACAAATCAATGTCCAAAATTTTAAGCACAAGTTGTGTAGTGAGGGCCGAGATATTCCAAAAGCGAGAGATAATGAAAAATGAGGAGTCAGTCAGAGAGAAAAACACTTTTTGGCTATATCTTTCTTTTTTTTTATCTTTCCCAGTTTCGCGTGGAAAACACTGATATTTTCTGGAAAAATTACTCTATACTTTAGAAATATGTGCAAAAAATTTCACGCCAAAATTTGCATAAAAGTGCCACATTATCGTCAAATTTCCGATCAAAAAATCTCGATAGAACAACATATTTCTAGAGTCAAAAATCTGACATAAGCCTTCTAAAATGTTGCTCTAAATTCGTCCAACATTTTCATCCAATTCTGCGCCCTTCAATTCCACTTATAAACTCCAATTCGACCGTAATCCAACCCCAAAAAATCCCCTACCGTATCAATAAAATAGCAGCCCGGTTCGATCGTCAGGACCATTCGTTCCTTCAGGGTTCTGGTAAGTCTCAACGACTTCAATCCGGGCAAATGTGAACGTGGCAGGGCGTCGCCCAGGTAGCCACCACAATCATGAACATCAAGTCCAAGAAGATGACCAAGTCCATGCGGCTGGAAAACGGCGCCGACCCGCTTCTCCACCATCTCGTTCACATCTCCGTTGAGGATTCCGGCCTTCACCAAGTGTTCGAGGACCACTTTTTCGGCCAAAATATGCATATCGTTCCAGCGGACGCCCGGTTTCGCGTTCTCGAAGACGGCGCAACGTGCCGCCCACACGGCGTTGTAGATGACTTTCTGTTTTTCGGTGAACTTCCCGTTCGCTGGGAAGGAGCAGGTCACGTCCGAGGCTGAAATCCAAATATTTTTATATCGCACTAGGCAAGAGTTTGAAATTTTGATTTTTAACTTCAAAATCAGCAGCTTAGAAGGCAAAATGGGCAATAAAAATATTCTAAGGGTATTCTTTGTTAATTCTATCAAACGAAAAATCGCACAATACTTTGTTTTCTACATAAAATTTACAAATTTATATTACACTAGGTCGGATTCGGAAATTTTGATATTAGGCTCAAAAATCAGCTGTTTCAAAACCCAGTCAAATAATCAACGCGTGTCGCAAACCTTTTCCACAAATTCTGTAGCAAAAAAATCTCATTTTATCTTGTTTTAGACATCAAAATAAAAAAAAATTATATTGTACTAGGACCAAATTAAAAAATCCCAAAAGCCCTCTCTTACCGTAGCAATTGTATTCCGGACCCATATCGAACAAGCACATGTCGCCGTCTTGGATATGACGGTCATTTGGAGCTCCAGCGTGGCCGTAATGCAGAACTGCGCCGTTTTCGCCGCTAAAATTTAATGAAATCACGATTTTTTGCCATTTTACACAGCCTTACAGAGGGCTGTAAAATTCAAGAAGCATTATAAAGGGTCAAGAGACTTCTCATAAACTTCTGAGGCCCAAATGAACCCACCTTCCCGCGATGCAAGTATAGGCAATATGCCGACATCCTCCAGTGTAATATGAGATGTGTTTGAAGAGACTTTCCAGCTGGTATTCGTACATTGGGGGCTTGATATGGCGCATCACCTCTTTGTGGGCCTCGGAGGCGATTTTGGCGGCGTAGCGGAGGACATCCAGCTCTTGGTCGGTCTTGATGACGCGCTCTTCGGCGATTATCGGGTACAAAATTTCCGTGTCTACGTTGAAATCGGATTTTCCCTTGAATTCGGCGGGCTCCAGAACCTTTCCACTGTCCGTGTTGGGGGCTTTCTAAAGTCGGAAAGACAAAAAAAAATCAAAAAAAATGCAAAAGCTCACCAATAACAGCAAATTTTTGACGCTATTAGTCTTCAAGTAGTCGGAAATGACGTTCTCCTCATGAAAGACAACATCATCCACTTCGTACTTCTGCTTGAACCAACTTTCCGGCTTGATGCTAAAAAAATTTTGATCAAACTTGAAGAGGTATGAAATTTCAGAAAATTGCCTAAAATACGGTTAAACTTTGACTAAAACAACGTGCCACAGATTAAAATTGCATCTAAGATAATCGTTCTTCAGCTAGTTATCGAAATTAAGCGTGAAAACGCGCAAAAAACACTCAAAAATTCAAAAAAATCAAAAATTTGTGATCGATACCTAAAATAAGGTCCACAGGTGGAAAAAACAGAGCGAACACCTCCGATTTTGATTTTAAATATCCCATAGCACTTTAAATTTACTAACTATAGCAAAACATTCCAGAAGAACATTCATAGTTTCTTGCAGAATCCAAAAAACCTAAAATTAGGTACCAAGTTGACTAAAACAACGCAGCTAAACCCCTCTGAGCTCACCATCCTTGCCAGATTGCATAATCTGGATGTAATTTCGGCGGGAATAACGTGCTTTTTCCAGAGTTCACATCAATAATTGCGTAACAATCGGCTTCATGGACGCCAAACGCCCAGAAAAAATAAGATTCCTGGCGGAATGCCAGCTCCTCGGCGTCAGTATTGTATCTAGTCTTCTCTTCACCTCCTTGAAGGACGACCGCAGTGTTTGCGGAGACTTTACCCGACTTTTTTAGGGCCTCAACGAGACGGCGACGATTTTCGGCGAAGAGGGAGGCCGAAACTTTCAGTGTCTGATTTCCACGCCAAAACGACATTTTTTCTGGAAGAAAAGTTGTCGATTATGTAACAAACAACCTCAAAAATTTATTGCACGCAATTAAAATTCAAGTTCAAGCGCAAAATTTTTCGTCAGACCAAAAAATATTATTCATGGCAAAATTGATGGATAAGATGCGAAATTCATGTCATTTCGATCAAATTTGATGTCCAAAACACCTTACCACCTATTTTCTACTCTAATATAGCTTTTCAGCTTCGTCTGACATTATTCTAGGCAATTTCGAAGCAAAAATGAAATTATTTTAGGTAAACGTGACCTCAAAATGACTTTATTCTTGCTTAGGTCGATCTCAAATCCTCTAAAATCTATACGACGTCTCATTTTCCACCCTATCCCAAAATATTCTCTCCCAAAAACTTCATTTCCCCACCAAAAACCTTCCAAGACCGCAAAATCAGCCAAAAATAACCAAAAATCGTTATCAATCAAAGTAGTGATTTGTTGATAACCTTCATAATGGAGAACAAAGACTAGTCAAACAATCGGAATTTATTCTTAAAAGTTCGGCTACATTATTTTCGCTTTTGTTCAGCGCTCTCTGTCCTGTAGGTCCTGATAACGTGCCAAAGTCGACTGTTTGACGCGCTCTTTCCACGTCATTCCCGCAACCTTCGAGCCGGCGGCACCGAGGCCAACGCCTTGGACGCGTTGTTCGGCGGCGATTGGGTTTACAATGCCTAGAATTAAATCATTTTATAGATCCATATCAAACTTTTTTCGATGTAAAAATCTCGACCAAACCTACCCTGTTGTGCTTTTCCTAGCCCAGTGCCTTCTTGCCATCCCATGTTCTTCAAGAGTTTATTTCCAATGTTAGTCTCATCCAAGGGTCGAATCGCTTTTTGTGCCGCTTCTTCAGCAATATTTGCCTCGGATTGTGTTCCACCGAGTTCGTCAAGCCCTGAAATTCATTTTTGTTCACATTTCTTTCGCCCTCAAGCCCTCAAATTTCCAGTAAACCATAAAGACCTCCAAAATTCTGTCTAAAATTCGACAAAAACTCAAAAAATCATTACCTGGATCAATTCCGTAAAGTTGCCGTCGTTCTTTAGCCCGGTCCCGATATGGCAATGAGGGCTTAGGCTCCTGAGTGGTGGGGTTACCTAGCTGGATGCCCATTTCGGCCATTTTATTCGCGACATTCGTCTGAAATTGAGGAATTTATATTGTAGTAGGCACCAGGATAAAAATCAAACAAAAAAATATTTCAAAATTTCCCCCAGGCACTCCAAATGTCTTATAACTTCGTTAGGTTTCGTAAAATTCCACAAAACCTCATTTTCAAACCAAAAACCTCTAAAAAATTATATTACACTAGGCAAAACTTTGATACAAATTCCATCCAAAACCTCGACAAATCCAGTAATACCTCTACTACAGCAAATCCTAAATAAAATACGAGATCTAAAGCCTAAATTCAACCCAATTTCTCCACTCCTCACCTTATGGAGATCACTTTTTTGGCAGTGCTTCTCCAGGACATCGAGGCTTTTGAACTGGCGTTGGCACAACAAGCACGCGATTAGAGACTTGTCCAGGAATTCATTAATGTCGAACCGAATGGGTTCTCTGGTTTCGGATGGTTCTGGAATAAGGCACAGTCAGTTCGAAATTCCTTCAACGAAAGCGATTTTTGGGCCAAAATCGGGTTTAGAAAACTTGTGTTTCTTGCAAAGTGCCGCCGGCAAACGGGCTGCGCGTGGCTTTTAAAAGTTGCCAGAGTCTGTGTGGCGGGTGTCAAATCCAATTTCACTTGAATTTGGGGTCGTTTTCGGCGAGAAACGAGCCCTTTTCTCACGCCACCACTAAGATATGATAGATACCGTTTCTGTCGAGGGTGCTGGTCGAGACCTCGTCCACTTGCTCATCCGCTTCTTCATCTGCCTCCCAAGTGTTCTGTAAGTAATTGTGGGTTAAATTCGTGTTTCGCGGTCCACGTTACCGTAGGAAACACAACGAAATTTAAAATTGTATCAACCTTATGCCCAAAAATCCTCAAACTCCTAATTTTTTCGACTCCAAGATCAAAAAAATGCACAAAAAATAATTCACCCTCTAATTTATCCCTTTATCTCCATTTCCCTGCCAAATTAGCAATAAAATCCACGCAAAAATCCGATAATAATATAAAAATCATCAATTTTCCCGCTAAACTCACAGCTGTTGATGTCACCGCGGGTTTGTCATCCGAATCCTTGACCGCATTGAAGGACATCTTGATTTTCTCTTGTCGTTTGGCCCACTGGTTCATCTCTCTTTGGATGTCCTTAGCTGTTTTTGGCTAGAATTCAAATTTCGATATTACACTAGTTTTAAGTGATTTTCGATAAAAATTTTCTATGACTCCAAAGCAGATTGTCTGATAAACCATTTTAGAGGGCTAGAAATCCATCCCAATCCAAAAACTTCCAGTAAATCAGTATATTAAAAAAAATTTAATCCAAAAAAGTCATGGATAATATAATTGATGCCCCGCCATAAATTTTAATCCAAAATCCGGGAAAATCTACCGTTATTATCTCCAAATAACCTACCTTATTTGGATCTTCCTCTTCTTTGACCTTCTTTTCTTTCTTCTTCTTTTTCTTCTCGTTTTCAGCGTTGGCTTCCGGGTTCTAAACAAAAACTGGATTATAACACATTCTCAAACGTCTCCATAGGCCTCAAAATCCATCACAAAATATATTTTATGACACTACACAAGAAAAAACAAGACAAAAATTAGGGGGTGGCTCAAAAAAACAGAGAAACTCATAAAAATTAGTGGGAAAATACAGAATTAGAGGGTAAAACAAGATAAACGATCCATTTTCTAATGCCCAAAGCAGGTTGGAAGTTCAAAATCTCTGCTGGTTTTCATGATCATTCTCTTTATCGTCTTTTGCGGCTTCAAACAAGGCTTTGGGTGTGATTTTTCGGAAAAGTTTTGGGGTGGGGCAGTCCTCGGTGAAATCCTCGGCCAAGCCTTGGAATCCCTGGTCCGCCAAAGGTTTGGATGGCTTTTCCAACTCATTTCTGATATTCTCGCATTCTTCTTCCATTTCCGTATAGTTCAGCAAGGAATTTGTGACGTTCAAATTGCCAGAAAAATCGTTTTCCTCAAATCTTTTCGAATTTTCATTGTTATTTCCATCAAATTTCGATTCACTTCGATTTCCCTTGAGTTGTGAGTTCTCTACACTGTCTTCTCCTTCAATATTCTTCAAGTTCTCAACATCCTTCTTCATTTTCTGATCATTTTTTACCTTATCCATGACCTTCTCTTCATTTTTGATATAAAAATCCGGGTTTTTCTCATCGACAAGACTTTCTGCTTCCTTAAAACTCTCCCCCTGGTCTGCAGTATCGTTGAAAACTCCATTTACCGCATAAAAATTAGGGCTATAAGTCGTGTCCAGCTGATGAATCGAGAAAAACGTCTCATTTAGACCTGACTTTCTGCGTTCAAACGGCGTACTTCCCGCATTCTTCAGCAAATTTCGAACAATTGGGTTGTAAACATTGGTCGTCTGTGCTTTTTGATCATCCTCTTGAGTGCTCAAACTTTCCGCGAGACTTTTTCCAGACCATTTTTTCGATGGCGCCTCATCTGATATTCCAAAAATTTGGAATCGTTGATTCGTCGACAAAATCCTAGTTCTTCGTGCAGATTCTTCAAGGAAATGCTGCGTGACAGACTGACAAGACCGAGGGGACATACTGGGCGGTGGGATTAGGTCAAAATCGAAGACTTTTGGCGAGTTTAGGAACGAATCCTCCGTCTTCGTCGGCTGAAATCGAAGAAGACGGTGGGGATTCAGACTTGCTAGACTGTTTAATAGCTATTTTAGGACTTAATACAACACTATCATGTCACAAATCACCTTTTTAGACATTCTATCATCAAAAACTTATATTACACTTGACCTCATTTTTAAAATTTTATACTCACCTCTGGCTGAGCTTCCTTCTCTCGCAGATTCTTCTCATTCTGTTGTAGTCTCATTCTGATCTCTGGATTTTCGCCATTACACGGGATAAAAGTCGTAAATTCCGTGGTCCAAAAGCACCATTGGCAAGTGACCGGATCATAGTAGTAATCGGTCTTCGGATCATAGTAAAATCCAGTGTTCGGTTCGTAAAAATAACCAGTAGTCGGTTCTAGTTGCAATACCCGCGGATCTGGCTTCGCTGGAAACAAAAAAAAATAAAAATTATATTACCCATGAGAAATTTAAACTACTCCTGACATAAACCCATATATTTCGCTTACGATAGATGGGGAAAACACCCAACGGTGTGGAGATTGTCTGTCGGTCATTTGGGTTGGGAGCACGACCCATCTTGGACATCTGAATCGCATTGTAGGCCAGCATTGCGGCCGAATTTGTGGGGTCCTTCTGCACTTGCGAGGTGCTGACTCCGGTCTGACTTTTGATCTGTTCGACCGAATCCGCCATTAAAACTTTGTTCAGGGATACCCGGGAGTAGGAGACGATCACCACACAGTTATTTATCTGCGGGACAATTCGATTGAAGGCCTGGAGGAAGTAGCTTGCTTCGTCGATGGACCTCATCTGCATCAGACAATATCTCTTCGAAGCGCCGAGGTGGACTCGCTGAATTGGAATGGACGAGTAAAGTGAGAAGGCTTGGATAATTCCGAGCTCATTCGCGGTGGCTGGGAGTTCTCGGACCAAGAGAGCTGAAAATTTTGACATTTTTATATTATGCATGATTAATATCAAAAACAATACAAAAATGTAAATTTTTCACAGTCTTAACTTATAAAATTCACACACATTCAATTTCAGTCCTTCCCTGATTCGAAAAACCTCAAAACTTATTAAAAACAACAAAAATTTTATATTATCCATGACCCAACTTCAACTTACTATCGCAAGGCTCAGATCCCACCATACTGTATCCTTTGGCTTCCAGATCATCCGAATCCCTCTTGTTTATTCCGCATTTGAAGCAATTTTCACGTCGATTGAAATTGTTTATTCCGCACTTTGAACAGTTCCAATCGGCCGGGCCACCCGCCGTATTGCCTAACCTCGAATTATCCGGTGCATGCGGTTCCCGGGCGTACTCCAAGCGACAATTAAAGTTGTTGGGGAATTTGAGGAACCCCTGAAAAGCATTTATACATCTCTGTTTACCTAAAAGTCGAAGAAATTTTATAAATCCTTACATTGTTATACTTCATATACTCCTTGGCCTGATCGATAGTGCTGAATTCGATGAAACCAAAAGAGCGAGTGCCAGTGTCAGTCGGTTTGTGGATAATTCGGACATCAATCGGGCAAAAGCCATGTTGACTTATTATGATGTTCATTTCATCTCGGTCGATGGCTTCTGGGACGGTTGTCAACATGATTTTATTGGTTGCATTGGCATCCCGACCCTCTCGCCGAGGCTGAAAATGAAATAAATTGTAGAATACGTCTGAACACCTCATACCGAAGCAATTTCACAAGTCAAAACGAGATTTTTAGACGTAAAATCGCTCTTACCGGAGATCTGCTCCTTCTGGGTGGAGTTCTTCGATAATTTCGGTCACGACTGTCCCTTCTTCTCCAAGAATCTCGATCATCACGTGGCGAACGGTCTCTGTAGTCTCTATCCCGATCATCTCGAGGTCCGCGACGATCGTTGTAGTCGTTTCTACGCCTAAACAACAACAATAATACCAAGCGCAAAAATCTTACCAATCACGATCATCATCGTTTTGGGAGTTTCTAGAGGTCGTGGAACTGTCGTATGATCGCCTAGAAAGACGGATAATGTGCTAATTGCAAAGTTGTTGCAGTAATGAAACGGTTTTAGCCAAGTACAATCAGTCCTACCAATTTTGTTGTTCTCTATCGTCAAACCTTGGAGGAGGCCGCGAATAATCCGGTTGACTGTCTTTAGAACGCCAATCCCGACCATTTCCTTCATTCACTGAGCCAGAGTTATTACCATAGCTGTCGTTTCGCCTGAAACAAAAAAAAATGCACCATGTGTAAGATAAATCAACAAAAAACATGAGAAATTGAACTAAATCAACGAAAAACCAATATAATAAAGCAAGGACATCGAGTTACACACAACATACCAACTCTGTCCCGGCTGCTGCGCGTAAGTGTCAGCCATATTCAACTCATTTGGAGATCGCCTAAACGACTAAAACAACATGAAAAAAACTCACCAATCCTCATCGGTCGCTGGCGGATACTGCTGTTGATCATATGGGCGGTTCTCAAATGAGCGACCGTTGTTATTATAGCCGCTGTTAAAATAACCAGACATCTTGAAATAGATCTGCTTTTACATTAAAAAATTAATATTGTTAATGATGGCAATGGATTATAAATTTACAACCAATTCAAAAGAGAAGTACTTCTTTTGCAAGGCAGTAAAATGTGTTTTCCTCGAAAGTTCGGAAGCAAGGATAAGTTGCGGCGGAGTGCCAAGAAATGACCGCTAAATTATTTTCGTGGTGGGACGCAGAAACGAGCTCAGCGAAAGGAGAAAAGCTATCGAAAAACATTGTTTTCGTTCGTATTTTATGTGAAAACTTTTGCTCTCGAGGAACTCAATCAAAAATGACCAAAGCAGCAGCTGGAGAGGCAATCGAAGTTGATAAAGTTGTTGATGTAGGTTCTTTGGTATAATATAGGATATTTTTTGTTTTTTGCTTTTTTATGTGTCCACTTGCTATTCCAAATTTTTCAGACAGTACGTTCGTTAAATCCTTTGAAAGAAGGAGAAGATCCGGAGGTGTTTGAAGAGGTTATCACAAGATTAGAAGATGCCATCGAGAACGGAGAGATTGCTACGCACACCGTGGACGACGACCAGGCCTACAAGGTCAAAGCCGCATACGCGGTATTCAACAAGCACTATTCGAAAGAACCTCCCGAATTCTACTGCTTCCAAATTCCTGTTTCCAAAGGTTCTGCGTAAGTCCTCTTGTATGGTATTTATTCTGTTTTTAGGGAGAAGTTCGTCGATATTCTACGCCATAATGGTTTTTTGTTGGTTGGAGACAAGTGTAAGTCCAAGGCGGAGGCAAAGTTTGTTGTCATCTTGGGATTCCTCCGCCATAACGGCTTTCTGAACGAATACCTCGATAGAATCAAGAAGGAGAAGATTCTGGGAGGCGATTTGGGGCTGAAACGGAAGAACGGATCACACGAAGAGCAGGTAGGCACCTCCATAAGTTTATTAATTCGTATTTTAGCCGGAAGCAAAGAAGGATACACCAGCGCCATTGCAATTTGATCCTGCTGAAGGTCTGTCTCCTGGAACACAGTTCTTCCTGATCTCCAACAATAAGCCGCCAAATTCTTTGCTTAATGAAGTCCTGGTAACTAAAGGTCACAAGGCCGCTCAGTATTCTGTCACCGACACTAAGTAAGTGTTTATTTTTTCTTGTATCTTATTTTAGGTAAAGCTGTTCTAAAATTAGATTTTTCTTATTTTTAGTGGTGGATTTATTGCTGAATGTGTGGCAAACGAAGTGACTATTCGTGGAGTGGTTGCTAAGAGCAAGCAGCTTGCAAAGCACTCTGCTGCAAGGCTTATGATCAACTATTTGGTCAGAAGTGGAGATATCCCAACTCCAGAAGAGATCCATTTGAATCATTCTCAATTTGTTGCTCCAAAAACCTTTGAACAGTTCGCAAGACACATCTGTTTTGAAGCTCTGATCTCGGTAAGTAATTTACAATTTGCTTTTTTACTGTTTTAGGCAATCCAAGAGAATCCTCTGGCCTCTTTAACCGACACTCATCTGGCTGGAATCGTGATGGTGAATGCAGCCGACAGAAAGGCCACATTGATCGCTATGAGCACCGGCTCATATTCAGGGCCTCAAATCTACAACAACGGATTTGATGTGAGGGATTGCGATGCGATTGTCACTTGTAAACGGGCTCTACAAAGGTATCTTTTGAGATCCTGATATTACCCATGGTTTTCGGAAAAGGAAAATTTGAGTTTTTTAGATTTTTGATGAAAGAAGTTATCGTTTTCTGCGCCAATCCGGCAGCTTCGATCTTTTGTCAAGAAGAAAAATCGATTAAATTGAAGCTCCGCCCGAACGTCTCTTTCCACCTATATTGCAATTACAACCCCTTACCAGGCGAACAAACCTCCTCTTTGAGGACGAAGAAGCCAGTTGGGATTAACAAATTCGCACCTAGAAGGTTTGTCCCACTCTCGATGGTCACGGCGGACAAGATTTTGAAGTGGAATGTGATGGGAGTTCAAGGCGCCATCCTCACTCAATCCATGGAGCCAGTCTTCCTGAAAAGTATCATCGTTAATGCCAATGCCGACTACGATGAGCTTCATTTGATGCTCTGTGGAAGATACAAGGACTCGAATGCCCCAAAAATTGTTATCATGCCTCCGGTAAGTTGATTTGGAAAGTTTTATTTTTCGAATTTTAGATTGCTCCCTATGACCTTAATATTGCTCCATATCAACCAGGAGAACGTTACGGATTACTGTGGTCGATCACTGAACCCGATGAAACGAGTATTTTGTCGTGCTCGTCGGGATTCAACTGGGATGGGTGAGATTTTTGATTTTTTTGGGATGAGGTCATCATGGATAATATAATTTTTGATCGAATTTTGTTATTCCTTGATGCAAGTGGAAGTTTAACTGAATTTTTAGGTCTCTTCTGTTTAAATTTTGGGTTGAAAAGCATTCTGGATGGCTGAAAAATTGAATTTTGTTAATTAGACTGTGGATAATATAATTCTTACAATCTTTTTCAGATCCCCTTCAATTATCTCCCGAATTGGTCTGTTCAGCGTGGTGAAGAAGATTTACAAAGCATTTGGAATGGACATTGGAGAAGCCCAGTATTTGGATATTAAACACGCCGCCAACACTATTGAATACTTCTCGAAATTGGGGGTCTTCAAAAGAACTCTAGAGGAGAGTAAACTCGGCACATGGATTCAGAAGAACAATCGTTGTTAAACTTTTTTTTGGAGTAACTTATTGCAACGGATTTGGTTTTCATTTTTTAATGTAAATATGTGGACCTTGGTTGGCAGTAATTTATTTGTTTTGGACTGAAAGTTGTAATAAATAATGGATAAAGAAGTGTAATAGTGATGATGATATTTTACTTGGCCAGGTGCTGCCGTTTAGAGCGAAGTTGTGAGCCTAATTGTCAGGGGTGGTCAGTGGGCCGGCCCGTGACGGGCCGGCCCAAACGGGCCGGCCGGGCTCAAAAATGGAAAATTATAAACGGGCCGGGCCCGTCACGGGCCGGGCCGCGGGCCTGGGGTTTTTTCCGGCCCGGCCCGTCTAAATTACAATGCCAAACCGTTGGCATTCATTGTTTTCGCGCCGGGAAAATTAATTGATGTTGTTATAGTTGCTGTTTCTCAAGTTCTAACACGTTTACAAGTCTATAGTTCCATTATAGAACCACAAAACTATCACATTGATCCTTTACTAGCTAGATCAACGCTTTTTTTGCCTCAGTTTAGATCCCGAGCCTGGGCGCAGTTCGCAGAACCCTCTATAGACGGGCCTGCACGGGCCGGGCCTGGAAAAAGACTAGACGGGCCGGGCCGGTAATTAGACGGGCCGGGCCGGGCCAAGCCCGTCACGGGCCGGGCCGGGCCTGGAAAAAGACTAGACGGGCCGGGCCGGGCCGGTGATTAGACGGGCCGGGCCGCGGGCCGAAAATCGGAAAAATAGGGTCTGCTGACCACCCCTGTTTACAGCGAAGTTGTGAACCTAATTGTAGGTTTAGGACAAGTTTTCTCCTTTTGGGTCAAGTGTTCCTCTCAAATTTATATTTTTTTGGAAATAAAAAATTGGAGTTTTTTAGAGAAGTTTGTGATAAACCATGATCAATTTAGCAGCCAGTGTTCGAATTGTAAGTGATTTTTCTGGTCGGAGGTTTTTTCCGGCATTTTTTTTTGGTTTTTAGGTCGTTTTAGGTCAGGAGTAATAGAAATGATGGATAAAAAATGGCGTATTTCATCACCTAAAAATTCCAAATGAACGAAATTTGTAGTTCAAGATGTGAGACTGGAGTTGACAATATGGGCTTTTGTTTGGCAGCAATTTTTCCGTTAAAATCGTAATTTTTGGCGGAAAATGTCATGTTGAACATGATGAATGGAAAAAATGGGAAATTTCGTCATTGAATATGGTGGAAATGGGTTTGTGAGGTATAGGGACTCGCAAACTAACTTTAAAATACAACGTTGACTTCTCTCCGCATATATTTTTGTTAAAAATTAAGGTTTTTTGAGGTGATGTCGTCGGAATCATGGAGAAGATCAAAATTTGCGATTTTTTTCGTCGAATCTTCAAAAAAAACTCTAGTATTTTCTTTTAGGAAGAGCAATTTGCCTCGACAGTACCGGAAATCCTCCTTCCAGTCGCGCAGCCCGACGCTTCGAACCTATCTCAGTGGATTGTTAGAGCTGAAGCTCTCTCAAATTTGTTTCAATCCCTAGTCACTTCGAATTCCAACGTCTTCTGGTCCACGATATGTCTTCGTCCGGTGATTCTCAGAGAGATCGACCACACTTTGGCCAACTTCCCATTCTTCGAAGACCTCGAGGACGGATCGATTTTGCGAAGAGCGGGTCAAACCAAGAAAATTGTGAATATTTTCCAAAATTTGTGGATTGTTTTTGTCCGATTGACTGTGAATTGGGAGTCTGAGGTGAGTCTTTACTTTTTTGAGCTTTTTTTTGTTTTTAGAATCGACATTTTTATATTAACTTACCTTATTCAAGGGTGTTTCCGAAGAAGAATATAAAAATAAAGCTGCGGAACACAAAATCATCACGCTGGAAAGGCTGAGGCTGGCTTCTGGATTGTTCAGCAAGAATTTCCCGGAGGTGATGAAAAGAATCATCGCAAGAATTCGCAAAATTTTACCAAGTTTGTTCAATTCTGTGCAAAAAGATCTGGAGGAGTTTCAAAATGTAAAAATTTTTTAAAAATCTGTTTTGTTAGCTCTTTAATGAGCATGAAAGATCATTTTAGTAACATTAAATTAACTTTCAGCACCTCCAAACCTTGTCCATTGAGGTCCGCTCAACTCATAATCGGATCTCAACTCATGAACCCCGAAAAACCGAAAATGTTTTGGAGTTTCTGGCGACATTGGAAGGTTATCGACGCAGAATTTTTTCTTGGTCTGAATTTCTCAGGTTCTTCCCGGAAATTCGATGTTCCGAGGAAATGGCGGGCATTATTGCTGAGGCTTCCCAAGTCATCGATGAGTCATTAAACTCGAGAATTGTGATGAATTTGGGCGCGGAGTCGCAGGAAATCGCAATGTAAGTGGTTTTGAGCTACTTCGGAGGGATTTGTGACAAGAATTTGAAAAAAAAAATTATTTTTTTGACAAGATTACCTTATTTTTGATGATTTTGGATAATATTTAGGATTTTTTTGATGAGTACTTGTGTTTTTTTTGCATTTTTACTACTAATTTTTAATAATAATCTGCATTTTCAGCTCTCTAACCCGTCAAAAAGCCGCCGTTCTCCAAGCCCTGACCCATCTTTTTGTCCGGTTTTACGAACGATCCGATGAAACCGAACGAATCGAACTTTTATTTGGCCTACGCGATCAGTCAACGTATGTTTCGATGGCTTGATTTTTATCGGATTTTTTTCGCTCCGTTCGCAAAGTTGCTGGAGTGATTTTCGGCGACATGCACTGTGCAGAAAAAGTCAGGGTGCGGGCGACAACCCAAAAAAGCCGATTGCACAGTGCAAAAAACCGAAAATTGCACAGTGCAAAGTGAAATTTTGTTTTCGCGACATGCATTGTGCGAAAACAAAAGTTCACCTTGCACTGTGCAGTTTCTTGCTTTTCGCACCGTGCAAAAGGCTTTTTCGGGCTGTCGCGCGCACCTTGATTTTTTTCTGCACCGTGCATGTCGCCGAAATTATCGGTCTGTCGGGAAAAAAACGGCGATCGTCGCGCCTCCGAATCGCCCATCATCGCTTTGCGACTGCAAGCCGCGGCTTGGGATTTGGTGCGCGACAGCGGCGAGGCGAGACATTTTGATGCGACGATCCGCCGTTATTTTTCCGACAGACTGATACATCAGCGACCATCGCTTTTTCAAAAGTGCGTAGGCTTTTTTCGGCCTGTTTTCGCACCGCACAGTGCAAGTTGCGCGACGTTATCCTTTTCGAAAAATTTCGCACTGTGCAATTTCTTTTCGCTCCGCCCAAAATCGCGATTTTTTTCCTTATGCTTTTTTAATTTTTAATTCGAAATTTTATAATTTACCCCCTTTCAGGCTCCTTTGCCGACTTGAAGATCGTCTCAAAATCAAGGACAAACTGCCATATCTAATCGAGAAGTCCCAAATGCCCGATCACGGCGCAATTATCAAACGAGAAATCGACAAAGCCATGGAAAAGAAGTCCAGAGAGGTGGTGGAAAATCTCGAAAATTCGGGGATGTTGGCTCATCTCGGCGATTTCATAAACCCAGTAGTTCAGGAGAATGTGGGAACGCTGAAGGATATTGTTCCATATTCGACCGAATTTTTGCATGTATGTTGGGAAAGGGAGGGCTTTTTGAATACGAAGAGGCCCTGGGGGTTAATCAAATCGTATAAAATTACAGTACAGCCTCTGCGCAACGAATCGCAATGGGCAAAAAGATTTGTTTGTTATAGAAGGGATTTGTTCTATGGCCGTTCATTTTTGGCCTGAAATTGCCTCTTAACACCGCAAAAAATGTTCGTTATATAAAGGTTTTGTGGTATGGCATGTATGTTGGAAAGGGAGGGCTTTTTGAATAAGAAGGGGCCCTGGGGTTGATCAAATTGTATAAAATAACAGTGCAACCTCTGCACAACGAATTAAAAATGACTAAAAGATTTGTTTGTTATAGAAGGGTGTCGCTATATGGCCGTTCATTTTTGGCCTGAAATTGCCTCTTAAGACCGCTAAAAGTGTTCGTTATATAAAGTTTTTGTGGTATTGCATGTATGTTGGGAAACAGAAGGCTTTTAGGATACGAAGGGGACCTTGAGGGATTCGTTAAATCGTATAAAATTACTGTGCAGCCTCTGCACAACGAATCGCAATGGACTAAAGATTTGTTTGTTATAGAAAGGCTTCGTTATATGGACGTTCATTTTTGGCGTAAAATTGCCTCTTGAGACCTCTAAAATTGTTTGCTATAGAAAGGTTTTGTTGTATTGGAGTGGGTTGTGGAGGATCCTTATTGTGATAACTCTGCACAACCACTCCCGTACACCAAAAAAAAGAACGGTTTTAGAGATCTCAAGAGGCAATTTCAGACCAAAAATTAACGTCCATACAACGAAACCCCTTTATAACAAACTCATCTTTTAGTCCTCTGCGATTCGTTGTGCTGAGGCTTCACTGTAATTTTATACGATTTAGCGAACCCCTCAAGGTTCCCTTCGTATTCTAAAAGCCCTCCGTTTTCCAACATGTATGCCATATAACGAAACCTCTCTATAACTGAGGTTTCGTAATGTTTTTTGTTTTTGTCCCTTGCGATTCGTTGCACAGAGTCGACGAATTTTTTCAACGGTTGTATTTTTTTCAGCTAGTCTTCCGTCATTATGGGTATGATTTGGAGAAATCAATTGCTGCTTTAATGGAGCCTGACCAGAATTTGCCTTTCAATTTGAGACTTTTACTCAAAGATTCAAGCAATTTGAAAGCCGCCAAGCCCTCGCAAAGACAGCAGATCAACTTGAAGGAGATTTATGAACAAGGTGAATATAAATTTTAAGATTTTTGGAAATTTGAAAAAAAAAGTTTTTTTGAAAAATTATTTTTTTTTTTGAAAAATTTATTTTTTTTTTGAAAAATTAATGTTTTTTCCAGACAGTGAAGCCGACTCCGACCACGAGGACGACGCTGACGCCGCTCAAAAAGCCCAAAACATTGATATCGTCCAACTCCTGACCGGCCCCGTCTCTTCCAAGGCTCCGCTTGGCCCAGTTTTAACTGAAAAGGAGATAAAACAACGGAAAATTGAGGAAAAATTAAATAAGCTGATGAAAACCTCCGGCGATCTGTTCAACTTGCGGCATCTTCATGGAGTCGTCGAAAAAATGCAACAGATAAAGTCGGATCAAAAAATTACCGTCAACGTGGGTGGCAAGGAGTTTGCCAAGTTCAGGAAAGGAGCGTAAGTGGAATGGAGAGGGTTTTTAGTGGTGGAAAGGATTTTTTTATTTGAAAAAGGCCTTTCGAGCGGAAAAATTATGATTTTTGGAATAATTAGGAATGTTAGCGGACTTTGCGATGATTTTTTTTCAAGTTTTTACTATAAAAAATTTCCAGTTAATACAGCGGCGGAGCTGATCCAACGGCAAACTTTTTCTCATTTTTCAGCTCCAAAATTTAAACCGTTGAATACCTAGGCTCTACGTGAAAACGGGGACTATAATTTTCAGGAATTGATATGCAGTGGCTGACCTGATCCAGTGGCAGAAAACGTACCATTTTGCATCCGGGAAGTATTGAAAATGCAACAAAATGCCTCCCTCTCCACGTGAAAAAAACTTCTGTTTGAAGGCTTCTCTCACAAAAAGAGCGGGCGCGCTTTTGAAATCGTAGTTTTTTCACTTGGATAGGGAAGCATTTTGCCATGTTTTTAATACTTCCCGGAAACAAAATGGCACGTTTTTTGCCACTGAACCAGGTCCGCTACTCTGATGCTTAAAATTTTTAAAAATCTCACATTTTTCTTATAAATTTTTTTTTCGGTATTAAAATTTCTCATTAGAGAGGTGTTTTTAAAGGGTCATGTTGAAATTTTTATTTTGCAGAATTGACGATGAACTGGATGAAGCGGATCGAACCGCAATTAAAGAGAAATCAACCGCGTACAAGTACGAACTTAGCGATGAAGACGATGAGGATGGCCGCTATGATCTGGACGCCAAGTTTCGCGACGAAGTTGGGGCGTCCGGACGGTTTAATCGGGGCGAAGTTGTGGCAGTCTCTACCAGGCATTTTGTTGATGAAGAAGATGAATATGACGACTCGTATGATGATGTGAAAATCGCGGTGGACGAGAATGCCAGGTAATTTGGCCATTTAGAAGGGATTCAGAGAGATTTTGAAAAAAAAATCCAAAAAAGAAGTCATGATGACATTTTAAAATTGGATTTTTTTTTGATATTTTGTTTGGTTTTGTGGATTCTAGAGGCATTCTAGAGGATGTAAAAAATATTTTTAAGAGTGAAAGTCTTTGTCTGGCGACAAAAAACGAGATTTTTCCCCAAAATTTTCGAAAAATTGGAATTTTCAAAATTTTTTTCTATTTTTTTTCTTTCAGAATCCCGGAAGAACGCCATAAAGCTTCGGAATATGGGTACGAAGGAACGCAAGCCAGTGGTCCCGCCGGCGGTTATGCCGAAGAACACGAACGCCGTCAAAAGTTGAACAAGTACAATATCCCCGAATTAAACCGACCAAATGCGAACCGTCCCCCGGAAAAAGCCCCCAAAATTTATGTGGCAAGGCCCCCGAGAACGGATCAGAAACAGCAGAGTCAAGCCGGACCTTCAGGCAATCCACAGCCGAGGTCCCAAAAAACGAGCGCTTTCCAGCCGACCGCCGCGACTTCGGCCACCAAAAAGGACGGATATACGGGCGGGAAACAGCGATTGAACAAGGAGAGGAACAAGAATAAGCACAAGCAAAGAGGTGCTGACAAGAAAATGGCCCGAGCTAATCCGTTTTGAGATTTTTTGAGGGCTTTTTGAAATTTTGTGGACAAAATTGAGGTATCTTAGAAAAAAGTGGGTGATAAAGTAATATTAGGTTGTTACATAAGTTTCCGGACTTTTTCAACAACGCTTATTTCAACAACAACAACAAAATCAAAAACAACTAAAATTAAAAATAAGTTATTCAAAGTATTCTCCACCAGATTCAATTAAGTTCTGCCAGCGTTCTTCAAGCAGGTTGATGCCACGAGCGTACCAAGCACGGGCCTTCGAAGCGAAAAATTCCTTGAGGAATCGAATTTTTTGCCACGGATCCAATGTTCCAGGCCGCGAAACAAGTGGAAATCGGTGGGGGAGATGTCCGGACTGTATGGCGGGTGATCCAGCATCTCCCAGCCCATTTCGGCCAATTTGCCGCGCGTCAACTGATCTGTGTGCGGTTTCGCGTCATCGTGGAGAAAAATCACCGAAATTCGGCGCTTGCGCATTATGCGTCGAACTCGCTCCAATTGCTCACAATACACTTGGGCCGTAATTGTCTGACCGTTTGGCATCAATTCCCAGTGAATTGGCCCGCGTCGGTCCCACCAGACGCACAACAACACCTCTTTTGCCCGAAAGTTGAGGACACCGGCTCGATCAACGGTTTTCGGTCTGCCACTTCGCTTCTGGTCATCGACGCCCATTTTTCCGTTTTTAAACTTGAAGTACCAGTCAAACGCCGTAGTTCGAGACACAGTTCCCGGACCGTGAGCTTCGTTGATGCGCTCCAGGGCCGTCGGCGCATTGGCACCTCGCAAAAACTCGTATTTGAGCAGCTTACGAATATCGGAGCGTGACAGACTCATATTAAACTAAACAATACAAAGTTATATACCAAAATGATCCCAACAAAATTCTCTATCGAACGCAATAAACAAAAATATGATATCCCTTTTTACAAAGAAGTTATGTCAAAAAGTCCGGAAACTTATGTAACAACCTAATATATTGTTGACATATCGAGTAAAAATTTAATGAATAGTGAAGAGGGAGGAATGGGTAAGCGGTTTCGTTAGTTTTAAAAAGCGGATTTGTTGTTTTTTCAATAGTTTTTGATGATTTTTGAGAAGATTGGGGGTTTTTGAAGAAAATTTGAAAATTTTTATAAGAAACTGCAAAATTCGGGCTAAAAATTTTTAGAAAATTATTGATTTTATGTTTGATATGACTAGTATTATGATAAAAACAATATAAAACAATTAAAATTTTGAAAAAAAAATATTTTTTCTCGATCAACCCGGCTTGTAACAAAAATCCTTCTATAATGTGTCATTACCGACATCCTGCTGTCCGGCCAAGTTACTTCCTTGACCACCAAAAATGTCGTGTGTTCGCTCATACTCCTTGATCTGGTCGTAGATCAGCCCTAAACATTGTGTTAAACACTGAAAGATTGACCTACGTTTCCACTCATTAACAGAACGCTCTCCCACTTCGATTTCCGAATTGTATGTCGGATGTGATGAAGCGTTAAATTCCTCATCCTTCCAGTTCACGTAGGGATGTTGAAGGGCCTGTTCGATTGTGTAACGGTTGCGTGAATCGATGACAAGCATCTTGGAGAGCAGGTCGCGTGCACATTCGGCGGAAAGCTTATCTGGAAGAAATGTATTTATGGCCAAGTTTTGCTTTTCATGCGCAAAATCGATCTTTTTCGTGCGAAACTGACAAAAATATGGTCAAAAAGGGTTTTTCTATCTGGACGTTCCCCGCGTTCCGCGTACTCTCTGGGCCACAAAATTCGATCAGTATCTCGGCTGATCCTGCAAAGCAAGAAGAAAGTCTGAGCGGAATTTGGAAGCCTTCTCTTGTGGCGGACTTGATCCAGTGCGCCAAAAAACGTGCCATTTTGCATCCGGAAAGTATCAAAAATGCGGCAAAATACCTCCCTCCCCAAGTGTAGAGAATTCGGTTTCAAAAGCGCGCGCGCTTATTTTGTGGGGGAGAGGGGGGTGTTTTGCTGGGCTTTTGATACTTCCCAGATGCAAAATGGCACGTTTTTTGCCACTGGATCAGGTCCGTCACGGAACAAGAGCAGGCTTCCAAGTTCCGCTCAGATTTTCTTTGTGCTTTTCAGGATCGGCCGAGATACTGAACGATCTTTGCCCAGAGAATACGCGGAACTAGACTTGGCTGCCGGCCCGGTCTTTAAGTCTTTCCGTACGCAATTTTATAATTTCGCTTGCCGCGGGACGCAAAATTACAAAATTGCTCGCCGCGAAAGATTTGCTTGCCGTTTCGGTCAGCAAAATGAAAGAATCGCGTGCGAGCCAAAAAGTGAGCGAATTTAGGGTGCTTTTTGAAAATGACTCGTGAATACTTCTATCTTCACTCTTATGTTTTGACATGCTTACCAGATTGCCGCTCCGGAAAGCAGTTATCCGGAAACAGGGTCTCCCACGGAGTTGCCTGATGTCGTGGCCTAGATTCAACATAAGTTCTGGCGTTGGCCACCATCCTTCCAATGAACTCTGGGCCCGGAGTTCCCACAAGTTCTACAATTCTGGCCCACTGTTCGATTGGGTCCCGGCCGCGGAATAAGACTTGGCCCGTAATGATTTCCGCAAAAATGCAACCAATCGACCAGACATCCACGTTGGCGTTGTAACCAATGCCGAGGATGATCTCGGGTGCGCGATAGTAACGTGTCACCACATACGGACTCAACATAACGGCGTCTGCGATGTTTCGAGCCAGCCCGAAGTCGATGATTTTGAGGTCGCAGGTCTCGTTCACAACAATGTTACTGGGCTTTATGTCCTGAAAGTATTACCTTCCTGTAGTTGTGGAACTTACTCGATGAACGATCCCGGCTCTATGCAGATGACTGATCCCGCGCAACATCTGACATAATAAAAACGAGATTTGTTTGTGGTCCAATTCCAGCTGAATGACTTGATTCAAAGTAAAGTCCATGTGCTCCATGACCAAATAAACGTCGCTGAAGGCGTCCAAAGTCTGTTGTGGCGTGTAGGCGTTCAACAGTCTGATAATCTAAAATGAAACCGGCATGTGTGTTGAGTAATAGGCTTACATTTGGATGATTGGACAAGTTGAGGACGGAGAACTCACGATACGCTCGTTTAGCGTTGACGTCGTTGCTGAAGGGGCGAGTCAACTTCTTGATGGCAACCCTGCAAGACGTCATAGTGTCGACGGCACGTCTAAAAGCATTGTAAAAGTTTTTTCAATGGTCGAGTTGAAAAAAAGTATCATTTTGCATCCGGGAAGTATCAAAAACACAGCAAAATACCTCCCTCTCCAAGCGAAAAGACCTCAATTTCAAAAGCGCAAATGTTTGTGAGGGAAAAGGCGCGCTCTTCAAAAAGGTGTTTTTAGTTGGAGAGGGAGGTATTTTGCTGTGTTTTTGATACTTCCCGGATGCAAAATGGTATGTTTTTTTGCCACTGGATCAGGCACCCCACTGTAAGCAGGATTTGAGCGACAACAATCAAAAAAGCTTACATTACGCATCCCTGAGCGCCGGCTCCAATAGGCCATGCGTTTTGGTACCTCTTCAAGAGACGGAACTTTACGTCTCCAAATTGCACGTCGTAAAACGCGTCAGAACTACTTTGGGAAGTTGAGGGATTCATCGCTGAAGTTTTTGGATCTCTGAAATTCAGTTTGACTTGAGATTTTCTACATTCACATGCCCGATAGCTGCCTGGGAAGCGAAATGTGAATTTTTTAAAATCTTTTTGCCCGATAAAAAGTTTTCAAAATTGCAAACAGTAAAATAAATAATTGTTAGTAAGCATTTGAAATGTCACCGCAATTTTCCCCGTTGTTATTGGTACAGTAGGGGAAGAAAATTGAGAGCAGTTAGAAAGCCTAATTCGTCAAATAAAGGCCTTCTTGTCAATAACAACGTTAAACAAAAAGAAAGAATTGCTTTCTTAAAATGTAACTAAAGGTTTAAATTCCCTTGATTTCCGATTTCTTCATGAATATTTTTAGGAATGTCTAAAATACTGAAGAGAAGTAGTAATTTGAACTCGCTAACACCCAGGACGAACTTATATACTGCCGGTTCTCGATAAGACGCATCGATGAGTCAGCGGTCTTCTTCAACGTTTAATTTGTGAAAAGATCGGTAGTCGGAATTGCAAAAGTGTAAATACAAATTCAACGAGTTGATGTTTTTTTGAGCTGCGTCTTTTACGTGCAACAAAGATGACTAACAATTTTGTAAGGTCATTGTTTTTGAGTTTAAATTTTTCATTCTGACTATTCTCTAGCAGAGGAAATGATCATGCTGTGACGCATGCATGTTGATAAACACCCGCAAAAAGAGTAATTATTTAGACGAAATTTTGCATCAGAGTTTCTAATCGCTGCAAAATTCTCGGAAATTTGAACGTGGTCTAGGCACAACGGATGTATTAGGTTGTCCAATAAGTAATGTCATGTTTGACAGGGGCAGTTTGTAAAGTCTATAAAAAAGCAAAGCGACGATAAAATTTCGCAATATTGCATCGTTTTGTAGCAGAGAACTCAAGCTTTTGTTTGAGGTATGGCTTACCGTATTTGGATCAAGTTGCATTAAGTTAGCCCTAAATGCGCATGATTACTTTTTCGGGTTGACAACGGTCCGGAACAACACAAAATCTATCGATACGGGGCGTAAGCAGATGAAAACCAGAAAAGAAAATGTTGTTGGAGGTACCTACGAGGCCTGGAAAAGCCGTTGGGTGATCCGCACAGGCTTGGCGAAGACATACGACCACTTTTTCTTATTTTAACTAGTTGTTGACAATCTTAGTTTTCTTGACCCTGAACTATTGCTAAAAAAAGAAAAGACCCAAGATTGCTCCAAAAAACAAAACCCTTAAAACCAGAGCATTGCATTTCGAGAATTCCCCTTTAAAATTCCCAAGTAACATGAATCAAAATTAGAGCAATTTTTGCAGCAGTTGTTAAAATCCGTAGCCTGAATTCCCGTTGTGTTCAGAAAGTACAAAATAAAAAAGAAAAACTGATTTATTTACTTGTACGAATATGTCAAAAGAAGACCTGCGAACAGCCAATGAGTCAGATGTTTGTGGGGGGAACGTTTCTGTTTATACCAAAAATTGGGCTGATTTTTTGTCCGCACGTCGCACAACAAGGGTGAGTGAAAATAAAACCCGTGAAATAGAAAAAAAGGATTGAAAAAAGACAATATAAGCGCGATTTTTTTGGAACTGAAATAATAATCATACTATATCTGAGCATCTGAACAAGTTTCGTTTGTCGTTAAGTTGGGGAGAAAATGAAATTTGATCCTAATGGAGGGCTGGCCAAGGGTGCTGGAAATGCCATGCTGCGCGATTCTTTAGCATTCCATCTGCTCGAATTGGGCGGTGGGCGCTGAAAAAGGATGATAAATTTAAAAAAAAAAAATCGAAAAAAGTTGTTGTACAGAGGAAAATTCTTTTTCGCCGCTCATTTTCCATGCCTCCAAAACTTTAATAGCCCTTTTTCCTTACCTTGCTGTTGCTGCTGAAGTCCCTGCAGTCTGGACAAGTCATTCTCGGGCCCGGCGCCGCCATAGATGTCATGAATGCCTTCGTACTCCTTGATCTCGTTGTAGATGAGAGCTAAATTGAAGGATACTAATTTTCGAAAGGGTTTCTTACTTTTCCAATCATCTACGGTGTGCTCGCCGCTTTCGACCGCCGAGTCGTAGCGGCCGGACGGTGGAGCTTCCACCTCTTCCGCGTCGTACCACAAATGCACGTAGGGGTGTTGAAGGGCTTGTTCGATGGTGATACGATAGTTGGGGTCGATCACGAGCATCTTGGAGAGGAGTTCTCGGGCACAGGCGGCTGAAAAGTTTAATAATCAAAATTTGAACGGGTTTTTTGGAAACTGACGGGGCTCAAAGTTTTATGCTTAGATTCTGATGAAATTCGACGCAAATTTAGAGAAATTTATTCTAGGACGGATACGAGGTTTATAACTCGCATGTTACAGAAAAATCCGAGGTTTTTAGCCGCAAAGGTTGGTCCAAATTTGAAATTTTTTTGAGTTCGCCCATGAAAAATTGATGTCTTTTTTAAACCACAAATGGCTAGGTTTTACAAAAAAAAATTAGTTTTCCTCGCGAAATTGGAGAAAGGCCAAAAAACATTTTTTTTCTCGGACCGCTGTCCGGGTTTCGCGTACTCTCTCAACCGCAAAAATTGTTGAATATCTCTGCTTCCCCTGCAAAACGTGAACTCATACTTTCAGAATTTATGTGCGACCTAGTCAAAGAAAATGCGCAAAATTTCAAAAAAATATGAGCGTTGAACTTGGCGAACTTTCTACGTATCAGAAACACAAACTTTCTACTTATCAGCCAAACTCGTTAACCTCAAAAAAGAACTCACCAGACAGTCGCGGTTCCACAGTCTCCGGGAAACTGCTGTCCGGAAACAGCACCTTCCACGGCCTCGCCTCGTATCTGGGCCTGTTCTCCACATACGTTCTCACCGTGTTCAGCAGCCGTCCAGTGAATTCCTGGCCCGGCGTTCCCACAACTTCCACAATTTTGGTCCATTGATCGATGTGGTCGGTGCCGGGGAACAGAACCCGGCCTCGAATCAGCTCCGCGAAAATGCAACCTATCGACCAGACGTCCACGTTCGCGCTGTACCCGATGCCGAGGATGACTTCGGGCGCGCGATAGTAGCGCGTCACGACGTACGGAGTCATCATGGCGGTGTCGCCGGTGTTCCGGGCCAGCCCAAAGTCGAGGATTTTGAGCTCGCATTTCAGGTTCACAACAATGTTGCTGGGCTTTAGGTCCTGAAGTTTCGTTTTTGTTAACTTTTTTTTGGGCTGTCGCTTGCATCCTGAGTGTTTTCGAACAGTGAAAAACGAGCCTTTATTAAGATCTGGGGATTTCCCCTGTGATTTTTTTATTAAAAATAAAAATTTTTACGATGAGTTTGTCGGGAAAATAATGAGAACAATGTCGCTGCGACAGCCGCGTCGCTGAAGTGAAAAGCAATTTGATTTTGCCGCGACACAATTCATTTTCTCGGCGGCGATCCGATTTTCGATGTGCTCATTGTTTTCCCGACAAGCTCATAATTACAAAATCAAACAAATTCTTGGATTGCAGGCAAAAAAATCTACAAAAAAGTTTTCTTTTTGCCAAAAAATCAATTTTGCCCCCAAAAAAAACATTCCCCGAAAAAACCGCTTACCCTGTGGATGATCCCCGCCTTGTGCAGATGATTGATACCACACAGCATCTGATATAACAAGTAGGACATTCGTTCATGATCCAATTCCATCTGAATGACCTGATTCAGGTTCGCGTCCATGTATTCCATGACCAAATACAGGTCGCAGAAGGTCTCCAGCGAGTGCTGCGGCGTGTAGGCGTTCAGCAGTTGGATAATCTAAATTTCGAAGTCAAAGAATGTGAAAAAAGAGTCCTTACATTTCGATGGTTGACCAGGTTGAGGAGAGCGAACTCTCGATATGCTCGTTTGGCGTGCGTGACGTTGCTGAAGGGGCGGGTCAGCTTTTTGATCGCCACCTTGGTAGCCGTCACGTTGTCGAAAGCGCCTCTGAAAAGCAGCCGTAAATTAAGTAAAATTTTGCGTTTTTTTAAGAAAAAACTGAATTTATAAAATTGCTGATTATGAGATTTTTTGATGAAAAAATCCAAAAAATACGTCATCATGACGTATTTTTTTTTGAATTTTTTGCTAGACATGATAATATAAATGTTTTACAGCACTTTAAAATTAGATTTTTCGATATTTTCGAATTCCAAAAAATTGGTCATCATGACATATTTTTTGGAAATGTAAGTTTTTTTCAAAATTTTGGCAAATGTTTTGGTACGTTGACTGAACAAAAAAAAATAAATTTTTTTTAATCTTATAAAAATTTGTCAAAAAATCCGTCATAATGACATATTTTTCGGAATTTTTTCGGTGAAAATAGTGTTTATAATTCTTTCAGAGATGATTTTTTGTCAAATAAAGTGCGAAAAAAGCGATCAAACTCTGCTTTTTGCAAGAATTTCACTTACAAAACAAGTCCTTGAGCACCGGATCCGATAACCTTCACACTGCCATATCTCTTCAACAACCGACATCTGGTGTCGTTGAATTCCACATCGTAAAAGGCGTCGCCTCCGTTGGCGGAATTGTTGTACGAAGTGGAGGCATTCATTCTCCGAAACGGCGACCCGAACCCAGGTCGGTCCACTGTCGCGGGCTCGAAGCCGGATGAACAACTTTCCAACGTCGGGACTTGATCGACGGCGCCACCAAAGAACTGAAATGGAGAATTGACGATGAATGCGACCGTCAAGACTTGTTTTATGCAATTTGGGAACTTGTGTGGCAAAAGAAGGATTTTTAAAAATTAGTTTTTTATGGAAGTACCCCCAAATGCGACACTTAGATTTTGATGAAACTTGGCACAAATTTAGAATATTTTTTTTTTGTAAAATAGATGCGAGAATCTTAGCGCTTTTACTTTGCAAAAACAGCCGAGATTTTTAGATCGAAAGTCAGCCAAAATTTGAGGCTTTTTGCCGGGTTTCGGCACGAAAAGTTTCATACCAATTTCTACCGTAAAGGGTAATGTTTCAACAAAAAATAAATTCTTTCTCATTTTTTTTTGAGAAAAAATTTCATGGTGAAAATTTTCACATACCATGGAAATCGCAGAGTGGTCCATACAGCAAAAAATGAAAAAAAATGTTTGCAAAACGTTTTCAGACTGCTCAAAACAAAAATTTCTCCCCATAACATCAGTTTCCCTGATTTTTATACAAAATTTCCTCCAAAAATTATGCAAACTCCCAAGTTTTCTACGCCCTATTTTGCGAGCCATTTCCCCCCTAAAGACTTGCGTCAACCCTGACTCACTCTGTTGGTGAACAAGTTCTGCGTGACCGAGTCGAGGATGTTGCTGATGTGTCCTTTGGTTTCGCGGAACAGGGCGCCGAACCCGCCCGTGCCTTGGTTCGCGTTGTACGGAGTGGCGTTGGCGCTGTGGCTGTGCGCGGCGAGCGTGGGCTGGTCGGCGGGGATGTCGCCGGAGCGGGCGTGTTTTATTTGGGGATTGGGGTGGAGATGGGGCGAGGAGCTGGAAGGGCGGTGTTCGGGGACTTCGATGACCTTGTTGTTGGTCAGTTCGGGGGTCTCCGGTCGATTTTCTGGTCGATTTTCGGGTTGATTTTCTGACCTATCTTCTAGTTGATTTTCAGCTCGATTTTTGGACCTAGTTTCTGGTTGATTTTCAGGTCGATTTTCCAGTCGATTTTCTGGTCGATTTGCTGATGATGACCTACTTTCTGGTCGATTTTCGGACCTTTTTTCCGGTCGATTTTCTGACCTTTCCTCTGGCCGGTCTTCTTGTCGAATTTCGGGTCGATTTTCTGACCTATTTTCCGGTCGATTGTCAGTCTTATTTGCTGGATTTGGCTCAGGTGAGGTACCCTTGGATGACCCGCTTTGACTCACTAAAGTTTTAAAATTGAATATTCGAAAAAATGGCTCTCACGAAACAAAATTATAGTACAACGACACGGTGATTTTTACAAATAAAAACGTTCTCACAATGAAATTACAGTGGTTTGAAAAGTGAAAAAATCAAAAAAAAAAAAATAAATAAAATACGGATAAACAACCACAAAACAGTGAAAAACAACACATATATGTATAATGTGGAATATCAAAGTTTGCGAATTTTGGCATGAAAAGTTTCGTATTTATTTCTACAGTAAAGCGTGATGTTTCCAATGTTTCCACAAAAAAACATATTTTTCCACACGAAGCTGGCAAAGATATGGCCAAAAAGTGTTTTTCTCTTTGACCGCTCCCCACGTTTAGCTTACTCTGTCGGCTTCTCACATACAGGCGTGGACCTGATCCAGTGGCAAAAAAACATACCATTTTGCATCCAGTAAGTATAATAACAAAAAATGTGGCAAAATACCTCCCTCTCCAAGTGAAAAAAACTCAGATTTCAAAAGCGCGCCCGCTCTTTTTGTGAGGAAAACGGGCGCTCCCTTCAAAGCAAAGTTTTCTCACTTGGAGAGGGAAGCATTTTGCCACATTTTTGATACTTCCCGGATGCGAAATGGCACGCTTTTGGCCGCTGGATCAGGTCCCCCACTGTATGTGCCCCGTCTGAAAGACCTCCCTTATTTGTAGTGGAAAGCCCCGGCCTACAGTGAGGGACCGGATCGGCAAACAACGACTCCAAACCCTTCCCTTCTCTAGGCTAAAAAAATCCGCTTTGAAAATCCCGCCTTGAAGGAAAGGGCGCGCTTTTCAAAGCGGAGTTTTTTAGCTTAGAGAAGGGAAGGGTTTGGAGACGTTTTGGTCCCTTCCGGGATGCAAAGTGGGACGTTTTTTGCCACTGGATCCGGTCCCTCACTGTAGTACTAGCTAGGACAGAAAGTCTTCAGATATCTGCAAAGTGCGCCGCCATTCAAAAGCTTTGTCCCTCGAGAATTGTGAGCAGAGTATAGCTGCGCCGATCGTGTCGCTGAAGTAAAAAACAACTTGATTTTGCCGCAACACAATCCATTTTATCAGCGGCGATGCAATGTTCGATGCGAGTGAGCGCCCATTATTTCCCCGAACATCCAATACAGGGTGGCCAGAAAAAACGGAAACTTGTATTTGTAGCAATATTTTTTTCAACAAACCAAATTCGGCAAAAATAATAATCAATATCAGTAACATGGAGCATTGTTAACAACATGTTCAGTCAGCTTTAAATCAAAATTTCCCCAAAAAAGGAACTCATTACTTTTTGAGGAATCCTAAAACTTTTTTTCCACAAAATCCAAAAACAAAAAAAATGTTCATTGACGTCAAAAACTCCAAAAATGAAGAATGTACTCCGTTGTGGCCATCTCCCCAAAGACTAATCATTCAGCGCGCGTTTTTCATCCATTTTTAATACCAGGAAATGAGAATTTCCTTGAGAATTTGGAGCCCAAATAAAGGGTCCAAAATGGATCTTCGGGCTTAATTCAATCTTGGACTGGGACGCGGGCAACCTTTCGAGGGTGGGCTAAAAACAAATTTTGATCGCATTTTTGGAGGTTTTGGGGTTTTTACCTGAAGGAAAATGATTTTTTTTTGAAAAGGTTAAATTTTTAGAAATAAAAATTAAAAAAATATTCATAGAAAGAAAAATATTTTTTCCCAAATTTTCTGGAAAAATAATGCATGAGTGGTATTGTAAAAGTAAAGCTCTCAATATTTCAGCTTTTGCTCAGTCCGGTGACTTTCCGGAAGGGCAAGTACTCAACAATTTTTGCGCGAGAAAGAGTACGCAAAAACAAAAAAAAATTGCCCTATTTTTGCCAATTTTCGATCTAAAAAATATCGGAAATTTGAGGCAGTATCTTCACAGCTTCTCTTTTAAAAAAAGTTTTTTTCTGGAAAAATTTTTTACCCTCCTTAGGTTATGACTATCGATTTTTTATCTTAAAATTCGAAAAAATCAATTTTTCGGCATGTTTTACACAAAAAATTACAATCCATTCTGCAAAGCGCGAGCTAAAAATCTCAAATATCCCTTAGCAAATTCAGATCAAAATTTTTTCCAAGTTTCATCAAAATCTGAGGGCCAAAATGTGATGAATCCCCCCGAAAATAGCAAGATATTCGTATAAAATAGCTCACCATTCTCTAAGCCCCACAACCGTTTGGAAGCCATATAAAATAAAAAAAATACTAATGCATTTACTGCTTTTAGATTTTTTCCCATCGAACCCCCGCCAAAAACTGTTTTCATGGGAAAACAATTAATTATTGCGCGTGGGGAACCCGTTTGCTTATAAAAAGTAAAAATATAGGGTGATTTTATACTAAGGATACATATGAAAGTTGAGTTTTTGCCAAGATACGATGACTTTTTTTGAAAAAAAATTTGGAAAAAATAAGATTTTTAAATATTTTTTTTCGAACTTTCAGATTTTTTTCTCTAAAAAAAAATCAGGTAATAAATAACACAAAAAGCAGAGTAGACCCTAAACTCTCCCCTACTCCTCAAAAGCTAAGCGATTTTTTGTCGGACCCACCGAAACAAATGGGACTGAAACGGGAACCCGGAGTTTCTGGAGATGCCAAAGTCCCGGCCCGAAAGACCCGAGAAGGGAGACATTCTTCGCGGTCGTCTTCCAAGAAAAAAGCCGCAGAATCCGATGGGCTTTTCTTTTTGTTTTTTCGCCTCCCGACGTCTTCGCCCTCTTCGGGCCTTAAACGGCCCAAAACTCGGGTTTTTACGGCCGCCGGGTTCAGTGCCGAAGACGTCGGCGCGTCCCGTGGGGCCGGCGATGAGTGGGGTGGGTGGTGGAGGTCGGGAAACTCGGCGGGCGGTGGTCAGGATTGGAGTTGGAGGGGTGGGGGAAGAGTTGAGGGAGTTTGATGAGAAATCCATTATGTTTGATGATTTTAGAGTGAGTTGTAGTAACAAGGGAAATACCCCAAGTGCGGCGCTCAGATTTTGATGAAACTTGTCACAAATTTAGAACAATCTTTTCTGAAATATATGCGAGAATCTAAGCGCCTTTGCTTTGCAAAAACAACCGAGATTTTTAGATAGAAAGTCGGCAAAAATTTGAGACTTTTTGCTGACTTTCGACACGAAAATTTTCATGTCTAGTTCTACGGTAAAGGGTAATGTTTCCACGAAAAATCAATTTTTTCCGCACAAAACTAGCAAAGTTATGACCAAAAAGTGTTTTTTTTTTCTCTGACCGCTCTCCTCGCTTGGCGTACTCTCGGCGGCAAAGATCTTTCAATATCTCGGCGGCGCCTGCAAAGCGCGAGCTAGAACTTCCAGTAATTGATATTTAGTATATGCCTGAAGTGTGTGCAAAATTTGAAGAAAATCGGAGCGTCGAACTTGAGGTACTTCCCTTATAAATTATGACCCGTTTTGGCAAAAAAAAGGTCAAATTCTCAAATTCTCAAATCCTCAAGCTCCGAACTTGACGAAATTTTGGGTATTTAGATTAAGCTACATTTTTCAGATTTTTAGCCCACGCTTTGCAAAAAATCGAGATTTTTTGTTTCAAAACTTGCCAAAAACTTAAATTCCCCATCAGATATCCCGAGTAAAAAGACTAATAAATCTCAAGTACGCATCTCGACGCCCAGCGAAGAGCCTGCGGCGAAATTTCAAGAAGTTAAAGCTGGAAGAGCCTGCCTTGGGAGTTGGCTAATTGCGCGCTTCGATTTTCCCAAAATTACCGATTCCGCAAGCCGAATTTCACTGCGGCCTATTAAAAGTCCGACTTGGACTTTTCTTTCAGGATTTGCCTTTAAACTTTTCTTGAATGCATTTTTTGCGTTTTTTGAAAAGAAAGTGGCAGAAGCGCCGTATTTTACCCAAAAATTGGAAAATGCACAAAGCCACAATAATAAAAATACCAGAAAACCGCCGACTACCACAACCACAACATCAATTTTTTCTGCAGCGCAAAAAGAACGAAAAAAAATTTAGTTTTTTTGGCACACGTCAAAAGTTGGCCTTCAAATAAATATCCGGAGCAATTCCTCAAAACAACTCGTTCTTTCCGCCCCAGCCACCAAGCCTACACTTTGTTGTGGCCGTGCCGTCCGACGGCGGCGCGCTTCCCGTTGCCTGCGGCGTTTGCGTCGCATCGCCGCCGTTCCGCTCCTGGTGGTCGCTGCTCTTCAACGCGTACTTGATGATGGCCTGGCGCACGGCCGGACTCAGCTCACGTCGCAACTTGGACGTCGAGGGCGGGGCGGTGGGCTCCAGTTTCCGTTTAGAGGGCGTCAGCTTGGTCCATTCACACGGCGGCGCGACAGGACTGCAGTTAAAGCGGTTAGTCAACGGTGGGGACAAAAGCAGTCGAGGAGGAGGAGAACACGTTAGCGGACGGACTTGGTAAGCGACAAACATAGCAAAGACGTGTTTAGTGAGAGATTAGAGCATGTTTCGGATTTCAAAGCTAAATTTTATTAATGTTATATGTATAACTACAAAAAAGCAATCTTTTAAGGCAGAAATGACATTTAACAAGGAAAGTACTTCTATGGGGTGTGGAGTTACAGGTCGAGATATATATCAAAAAATTCGCAAAAATTTTCTGATTCAGATGATATAAAAATTAGCTGCCTAATTTTGGTTTATCAACGAGTTTTATCAATAAATGTATTTCTCGGGGAAAAAAAAAACTCCGGCAACAAAAGCGCGCTCGGTCCCTTCCTTCGGAAGAGAGCGGTGTGGCCGAGTGGTTAGAGCGGTAGACTGAGAATCCAACGGGAAAGGCTGCCCCGTGGGTTCGAATCCTTTTGCCACAGAGCCCCTTTTTTTACATTGGAACTACTATTAAGGTGTAGTTGTAATCCAATTTGATATTTTAAGGCTTGTCAAGGCCTCAGAATTTATTTTAGCACAAAAAAAAAATTTTTTATTGGTAAAAACACGGTCAAAAAGACACTTGCATGGTGTCGCGAGAAAACTTCTGAGGACAAAAACATGTCATCAGACCAAAATTAGGCAGCTAATTTTTATATATTCTGAATCAGAAAATTTTTGCGAATTTTTTGATATATATCTCGACCTGTAACTCCACACCCCATAGAAGTACTTTCCTTGTAATATCAGAAAAAGAGGGGTTTTGAGTCAAATATACTACGTTAGGGTTGTAAAAAGATCTGTGAAAAATTCCTAGTCACTTTTCTCGTCAAATCAAAGGTAAACATGAACAAAGCCCTAGAAAAATATTTTACAGCCAAAAATTTCAAAGTTGCTACAAAGGTTGTCTATAACAATTAATTCTAGAACCCCCAAGAGTCACTTTTAGGCCAAAATGAACCTTCGTACTAATCTTTATAGAACCAACCGTTTTTCCTTCCCATTAGTTGTACTTTCTTTTTGCCAAATCTCAAAAAGTTGCGAAAACTTTTTGACTTAAAATTTTGCTAGTTTCTGCAAAGTGCGAGCTAAAAAACATGTAATTGCTTTACAAAATTGCAGGCTTGCATTATGCTAAATTCCATCAAAAAATAACACAGTGCAATCTATCTATTGGCCATAAAAAAAAACCCTACAATCTTCCAGAAAGCGGTCGTTTTGAATCGTAAAATCAAACCGATGACAACGCCTATTTCTATCGCTTGCCTCCATAAAAATTCCTCCTCTATCCGCAAAAATTATCAAGCATTTTTGCCCTTTTTTATCGCCCCGCCAAAGAATTCCACAAACGTTTTGAAGCAACAACAAGAAATGAATATAAAATGAGTGTTTTTTGAGATAAAAATGGAGAAAAAAAGAATGGAATCCGAAGACACTCCCAAAAAAAAACGAAGCGGAGGGCACTTGCGGGCACAAAGAAGAACATTGGGGACACACATTGAGCGACAAAAAAGGCTTGCAAATCACGGAAAAAAAGGGTTTCGTTGTAGGGGAATGGTCTTTTTCAGTCTGTCGGAAAAATAATGAGCGCTCTGTCGCAACGAAAATCGCATCGTCGCCGAGAAAATGAATTGTGTCGCGGAAAAATCAATTTGCTTTCATTTCAGCGACGCGGCTGTCGCGACGACACTGTGCTTATTATTTTCCCGACAAACTGATTTTAATCGCTGAAAATTTTTGCTCGATATTTTTAGGTACAGCCGAAGTATCCGATGATATTGGTCGACGAGAGAGCACGCTGAATGAGGAGACACTTTTTTCGTTGCTCTAAAAAACCAGCAGATAGATGCGGAAAAAGAAAACTTCAGCGACAAAAGTAAATGTGCGTCACGAAAAGCAGCAATGAAATTCCAAAAAAACTATTTTTTTGTCGCGCCGACTCTCCTCATTTTCAGTGGTCTCTCTCGGGAAAAGATTGCTTTATATCACGGCTGTCGCTGCAAAGGGCAACCCAAAGTTTTCAGCGATGAAAGTTAGACAATTATAGAAAAAGTACACCTATTATCGAAAGAAAATCGACTGGTCGAAAATTGAAACTGCAAAAAATCAGAAAACCGAGGCTTTTGACTATCCCCAAAAAAACTCAGACATCAAAAGTCATGACTATTAGCGAGTATCACGCGCTGCTTAGAAATTCCGCTCGTCCAGAAATTCGACTACTTTTTTAACGTCAGCGCCACTTTTTGGTCCGCAAATGCTGTATTCTTCCCGAAGAATGGGGAAAAAGGGCAGAATGCTAATCGCCTGTAATGTTCGCTTTGTGGACCAGGAAACATGGAAAACACGCTTTTTTGTGGTGGAATTGAAGTAATCTTATTTACCGCGTACGGTTTGAGGGGAGAGCTGAAGAAATGGGAGGTGAAAAAAGGCTAGAAATTTGAGAAACCAGCGGGATCCTTAGGTAAAAAGTTGCCGCTAAGTTTCAGGCTTTTGACCAAAAATTACTAACGAAAATTACTTTTGCGGACAGCTAGAAGAACCCCAGAGATTCTTCGGGAATCTTTTGGAAAGCAGCCAAACTTTGCTTGTAGAAGTTAATTCTAACGATGGATTTGGCAGTGAGATGTTGCGAATTAAGCTAACGGGTGTATAAGTGGCTTAGTTACCATAAGATTAAATCCGCACTTTCATCGTTTTTTGAAAACAAACTGCAACAAATTTGAAAGCGATGGGCGAATTTAATAGAGCCGTATACTTATCAGTACCAGTGAGTGGCCAATGCGAAATTTCTATCATACCGCGCAGATCACGGTGGGAAAATCGTAATTATAATCGGTAAATGTAGGCTGCCCGCACAGTGGTTGCCCGCAGGAGTGGCGACGTCTTACTACTGGCTTACTTGTGATGGCGTTCGCTATATTACTCTGGTAAACAAACTATTTTGATGGGAAATTGAAAAGGATATAGCCGTAAAGTGTTTTTCTCCGAGTCTATCTCAATTTTTAATAAATCCTTGCCTTCGAAGATCGTTGAATATCTCGGCTGCTTCTGCAAAGCAAGTGCTAAAATTTTTAGGAATTAATCTGTAGCCTAGTGAAATTAAAGGGCGGAAATCTGAAAAAAATCTGAGGGTCATACCTTGGCTATTTGATCTGTAAAGCAAACCGTCCGTATCGAGCTAGAACCCGCTAGTTTTTCGCTTAAAACCTCCCATAGAAACGCTTTCTAGAGCTATCAACCTAAACCAATGGTCATTTCCTTCCAACCACATACGGGAAAGACCCCTCAGACACCACCTCTTACCGTCATCTTTACCGTTTCCGGCCCTATTACGCAATGCCCCGCGCCTCAACCCATGAAAAGCTAATCTCATAAACGTTACAAAACGGATTTGCATAAGTTCGCGACGACATCTCTCGCTCCGCTTTCGGATTAGCTGCCCATCCGTTGTGATGCGGTTCGCAAACCCTGGCGGATTATTTGATAAGCGCCGGAATGCAGGGCCCAAAACTCGTAAAACATGAGGAAAGTCGGCGGAGAACGGGCTGATAATGGAATCTAAGGTGCATAGCGGAGTGGGGAATGTGGAACAGAAAGGGGAGTTTTGAACCTGTTTTCCATGGAGTTATACGATATTCGAGAAAATAATTGAATTTCATAGCGCGGGGAACGTGGGGGGAAAACACGGGTTCAAAGATGATTTGGACTAAACTAAGGTCAACTCAGACGTTTTACTGTAGTTTTTGGGCCCGTGAAGGGTGGGAATTGCCTAACTAGTTAGCTGGATAAAGGCAGACTTTGATTATGATCGATAAATGTCCAAAAAAAGGGCCTACATTTGCGGGCAACCAATTTGCGGACAGCTAGAAGAACCCCGGAGATTCTGCCGGAACGTTTGTAAATCAGCCAACATTTGCTTTGAACAGCAAATTCTAGCGATGAATTTGACGGTTGGATGTTGCGAATTAAATTTCCATGTGCTTACCTAGCTTGAATAGCGAGCATAAGTTAACTGGGCATTTTTAAAGGCTCAGAAACCATTTTTTGAAGGTAAACTCCTATAACTTTGAAAGCGGTGTATAAATTGAATGGATTCGTGTACTCTTCAGTACCAGGGAGTTGTCAATGCAAAATTTCTATCATACTGCGCAGATTACGGTAGAAAAATCGTAGTTCTTATCGGTAAATATCGGGTGCGGTCGTCCTCAAGGGTCGCGATGCCCAAAGAGCCCCGTTTTCGCCATCTAAATACCAAAACTGCCAAAAAACTACAAAACCTATGTAACTGAAGCACCTTCCCTTTTCGCTCAAGTATTATCTTCATTCGAAATGCCCTCAACCCTGATAATCCGTGATTTCTCATCGGAGCAGGGCTTAATTTTTGATGGGAATTAATTTTTTTCGCCAAAACATTAACCATGAAGGAGTGACGACGAAAAATGAGTTTTGAAATTCGCCGGCCTCATGAATGTAGACTCGCCCTTCATTTGCGAAATTGGTTGTAAAAATAGCGCGCTTCTTGGCCTGAGGCGGAAATTTTTTGAAATTTTAAAACCATCAAATAGCGGAAGGAAAAGTGGTTGGTCAACGACTATGTTTATGCAATTCTAGATGCGGTTTGACGGTGGAAATGGCTATATAACGAGCGTACGGGGTACTGACGAGATTATTAGGCCATAAACCAAAAGTTTAGGGGAAAATGCCTTAGGGGTTTTGAGGAGAAATAAAAAAAAATGAGGAGAAAATGAGAAAAATTGGAGAAAATGTGATCATGAGACAAAAAAGGGTAATGAAGTGTTTATCAGACAATGCCTTAGGGCGTGGAGGGTTAAAAGCCGCTTAAAGCGTAATTAGGGAAGAAATTTTGTTGTATGAACCTCTACAAGATATTTTTTATATGGTAAGAGTTCTTTGAAAGCCTCCTTAATTGGCTTCAAAAACCATGGTTTTAGCAAAAATAAACCTCATGTTGATGTACTTTCTCCGCAACAAACAAAACTCCATCCAATCTGCTCTCATTCCACAAGAGCCTGAACTCCTTTCCACTGCCCCGGAACGCACAAAAGCACTGCCAAGAATCGCGCCAACCCCGCAATCAACTGTCACAAAAACAACACTCCATTCAGGGCTATCAAAAAAGGAACTGATGTTCGCCTGCCATAAACTTGCCCTGAAGGTTCTATCTCGCCGGGCGGAAAAGCCCCATCGCCAGTCTCGCTTCTGTGCGGCGGTGGGAACGTAAAAGACCGCCGGGGTTCTCGCCCGTCTCCCCCCACCCCTCTCCGCCTCTCTGCTCGCCTCTCCGCCTTCCGCACGCACGCTGCGGCTCGCGTCGACACAGTCAGGCGGCTCTTTTCGCCCCGTCCCCCCTTCCTCGCCCCTATAACGTCCCCTTTCCGCATTTGTGGTTGACCCGCGGGGCTTTTGCGCTTTTCCCTTTTTCAGGGCGAGAGAGGAAGGGGACGAAGCGACGTTTGGGTGAAGGCGGCGGAGCACGGCTACATGCGGACGAGTTTTCGGATGTCGGAAGGACAGAGGAGTAACCCGCATTTCGAATAGCACAAAGCAAAGGGCGAATGTCGGGAAATGAATTGGCTAATGCAACATTAGAAATCATATATGAGGGACGTGGGAAGATGATGTGTTATGCAATAAAATGGAATGGGTTGATTATGCAAGAGGAGCTTGACAATGACTGTTCAAGCTCTGTATAAGGAATTGCGTTGAAGAAAAGAGGATGGTGAGATTGAAATATGGTCTGTCGGGAAAATAATGAACACAATGTCGCATCAAAAATCGCATCGCCACCGAGAAAATTAATTGTGTTGCCGCAAAATCAAGTCGTTTTTCAGTTCAGCGACGCGATTAGATCAGCGACACTGTGCTCATTATCTTCCCGACAGACTAATAACAGTCTGTCGGAAAAATAATGTGGATTTATCACGCTTTTGAAACTGCCTGGCATTGATTTGCAACGGCTAGCACTGGATTGAATCGATTGCGACTACGACAATTCCACATTATTTTCCCGACAGACGGATGGATTTACAAGGACGACAGTTTAACTTTGATGCTCATTTTTTGACAAAGCTATGAAAAAATTGAAATTGACGTCTTCTATGGCCTTTGTAAATTGCCAAAACGAGAGTTAATGGCCACTTCGACGAAAATGTCAACTGTATGCACTATGTATCAACAAAAATCTTATTTATTCCCCAAAAACCACAAAGATTTGGGTTTGCATTCCCGTCTTTCCGTGTTTCCTAAAATGTCTCGCCCGAAGATATCACAAAAAAAACTTCTTTGTGTCTGAAAAACACGAGCTGAACTTTTATGGGCCTTATCAGTAGATCAGTCAAACACTGAAGGCAAAAATTTTTATATTTCCAAAAATGATGATGGTCCAGAATCTTCCAGCAAAGTTCAATAACTGCCAGGAAAATTTGAATCAATTTCCAAACTTAATCTGTGTTTCCAGCTGTTTCCGAAAACTTGCAAGTATTAAAAAAAATTTTGCTTCCAACACTTCCATTTTTGATTTTATGGCTAGGAATACGAAATGTCACAAATTTTTGCTCTATCCAGCGCTCTTAACACAAAGTGAAAAAGGTTTTAGAACTTCCGAAGATTGTATTTTACAAACTATTTGACCGTTTTCAGCCATTTCCAAATCGCTTTTACAACGATAGACAGCAAAAAATTTTGTGACATTTCGTCTTCCAATTTTGTGACATTTCGTCTTCCAAGCTCTAGGCTTCATAACTTTACAAAATTCCAAAAAAAGGCCCAAAAATAAACAAAACCGCTTCAAAATCTTGTACAGATGCAAAACTAAGCCCATAATTGCTGTTCCCATAGCAAATTTACGTTTAATTTCCCCTAAAGCGCTGAGGATTTCAAGGAATTTCAGCTCAGGTCCAACTGCGCAAACATGACCTTAAGCCAGCGAAAAAACATCGAGTCCAGCGTATTAAACGCCAAGCGGACGTGCACTGCAAAGAACAAGCGCTTACAATACTGCTAACAACGCGGTTGGTTTACAGAGTAAGTTGGCTTTATACCACTGGGTACGCTTTTTATTCGTTGCTCAAGATTTTGAAAGGGAAAGTCGTGAAATAATTGTACATTTTAATTAGGGATTTTAATTATGGTGCTTTTGACATGCCTACAAAATTGTTAGACATAGAGTGCCCAAGATGCAATTTTTGAGATTTTAATGATGCTTGACCAAAGTTTGGAGTCATTTTTTTCAAAAAAAAATTTGTGAGTGTACTGTCTGCTGGTTTGCAAAAACGACCCAAACCTTCGAACCTTCAAAGCCAAGTATCAATTCTTCGAAGTTTTAGCCCACGCTTCGCAGGCGCCGCGGAGATATCGAACAACTTTTATCGTCGAGAGAGTACAAAAAATATGGAAAGTGGTCAGAAAGAAACACATTTTGTGGCAATATCTTTGTATAATTTGTGCCGGGAAAAATTGATTTTTTTTTGTATAAACGTTACCCCCAATGGTAAAAATACATGTATATATGTAGTTACAAAACACTTACCAAAAAATGTTACGTTCTTTTTTCTGATCCTCGCCACGCACGTCAAACTGAAGAGCCTGGTGACCGGAATAGACTCTGCGCTATCGGTTTTTTACACTTGGTCTTAATGTCGCGGAGAAAACAGAGAAATGACGCGCAAACCGCACTCTCTCGCCCCAAAAATTCCCCATTTCTTTCCCGACGAAAAGTTTTTCGCGTTTTTTGGCCACGTGCCGAGCCATTTACCGGACAGTTTTTGCTTATTTCAGTTTGACGTGCCACGTCTTTCTTACATACAGTGGGGGCCTGATCCAGTGGCAAAACACGTACCATTTTGCATACGGGACGTAGCAAAAATGTGGCAAAATACCTCCCTCTCCAAGTGAAAAAACTCCGATTTGAAAAGCGCGCCTGCTTAATTTTTTTGCGCGCCCTTACAAAACGAGGTTTTTTCACTTGTCGAGGGAGGCATTTTGTCACATTTTTGATGCTTCCCGGATGGAAAATGGCACGTTTTTTGCCACTGGATCAGGTCCGTTACTCTATTTATTTACTACATTTTCAGGTCACGTCAAAACTCCATGCTGTCGAAGCTGATCTTGCTTTTGCTTCTCCTACAATTTCAATGTAATTACGTCTCTGCGCAGGCCTGCGCCGACAGCGAGCCCAACCTTTGTCCCCATTTGTCGTTCTTTTGTTGGGGCGGCAAGTACACACGCTTGATGAACTCAATGTGTCGGAGGACTTGCAATTGCTGCTCGTTGTATTGTCGGAACTGTTTCCCCGACTACAGTGATAAGGAGAGAAAGCGACTATACAGTGAGCTGGTTCAGGATGCCAACAAAAGAACGGAGCGGGGAATGTCCAATGTGCAGGCGCGACCTCGACATTATTATTACTTATTTTAGACTCTTTGCAGGGCAACCTCCGCATAACAAACTTTCGTACTAAGAAACCTTTCTATAACGAATATTTTGGTCTCAATAGTAAATTTAAGACCAAAAGAACTTCCTAACAGTTTGTCGGGAAAATAATGAGCACAATGTCGCTGCGCCAATCGCGTCACTGAAGTGAAGAGCAAGTTGACTTTTCCGCGACCAATTTTCTCGGCGACAATGCGATTTTCGATGCGAGAGAGCGCTCATTATTTTCCCGACAGACTGATTACAACCACACCCATATAAAAAGAAAATAATTTTTTTGGTTCCTTGGATGCGCTTTGAAGTTATGATATGTTTTTATTCGATCACCATTTAATTTTATTATACAACGCAATGAATAAAAATACAAGAATATGAATATTTGTCGGTCAAAGTTTGGATTTTCGTTTTTTCATCTCGCTATCTCGCAGGAATCGCCGCAGAATCTTTCCGGAAGGGCTCTTGGGGATCTCTTTGAGGAATTCAACACCTCCAACTAGTTGTTTGTACTTGGCAACGTTCTCTGAAAGAAAATTAATATTTAATTTTTTATAGTGAAAATTCGCATAGTGTGATTGAGGGCTAGAGGAAGCTTTGAAACAATTTCGATTTTTTTCTAAAAAATGAAACCCTTAGGAGGCTTTTAGTTCGCGCTTTGCAGAACGAAACTGCATTTTTGGTTACTAATTTGAAGGCGTCAACGAAATTTGAAACCATTCTGCGCTTAGGAGTGTGTAAATTACAGTTATTGTTTATTATTCTGTCGGAAAAATAATGTGGATTCGTCGCGCCTTTCAATCTTTCATCACCGTTTTTTGACGGCTCCCCTAGACTTGAGATTTGCGAATGCCACGAGGCAATACTTTTTCCTGCGACAAATCCGCATTATTTTCCCGACAGAGTGATAACATTCCTTCCGATGGGACTTAGAGCCTGGTAGATAAATATATTACACTATGGGCTCCTCAGAATTTCCCACCAACTTACTCGCAACAAACTCAGTCACGTCCTTCTCGGTCAATTTCGGGTCCGCTTTCACGACGAACGCCTTGGGCACTTCGCCATTCCGATCGTCCGGAACCCCGATGACGGCACAGTCGGCGATCCGCTTGTTCGAAAGCAGCAGCGCTTCCAGCTCCGCCGGCGGAACCTGATGAGCTTTGACCTTGATCAGCTCCTTGCGTCGGTCGACAATGTAGCACCAGCCCTTCTCGTCCATGTAGCCGATGTCGCCGGTTTTGAGGAAGCCGAGCTCGTCGAACGATTCTTTCGTTGCCTCCGGCCGATTGAAATAGCCGACCATCAAGGTGGGGGAGCGGACGCGGAACTCGCCGGGTTGTCCCGGCTTTACCGGCTCGTCGGTGTCCGGATCGATTATCTGGAAGATTCGTTGTTTATTAGGCGGATAAATGGGGTCTTGTGGTGGAGAAATGACGGCTCTATATTTCTGCTAAAACTCGTCAAAATCTGAACGTCTAATTTTGAGCTATTGCCCTGTAAATCGAGACCGTTTTCTGCCAACTTCTTCTGTAGTTTCTGTAGTAGATCTCACAGCCCCTGCGACGAAAAAACTCGCTTCGTTTTTTTGTCGCAGGTCTTTCCCCTCAACTTACTCTCAGCTCAAAGTTCGGAGCGATCTTCCCGACCGATCCCAGCGGGTAATCCGGCGCGTACTCCGCAATATGCGAGCCCATACTCATTTCGGTCATTCCGTAGCCCTGCCCGATCATTCGTATGCTGGGGAAACGTGCGCGGACCTGCTCGATGACTTCTCGGCTGAGCGGCGCCGCTCCGGAGAGAATGTACTGCACGGAGGAGAGGTCGTATTTCAGGGCGACTGGAGCTTTGGCCATGATGATCAGCATTGGTGGGACCATGTTGCAGAGACGGATCTGGAATTTTTTTTATTTGAAAATCTCACTTTAACAAACTAATGCTTCAAAAATCCAAAAAATCAGTTTCCAAAATAACCCTCTCTACAACAAAAACTTTCTACTATCAGTCTGTCGGGAAAATAATGTAAAATTTCGATATCGACAGATTGCTCATTATTTTCCCGACAAACTGACAGTTAAAAAAATATTTTTTTGGCAAAAAAACCTCTGTAGAACAAGACCTTTTTATAAAGATTTTTTTTTGGCAGTCTACAATTTGTTATAGAAATTTAAGACAGTATTTTACCTTGTAATCCTGGATGCTCTTGAACAATATGTCGGGCGTGAACTTCTCGACAATAACACTGGTCGATCCAACCCAAACCGCCAGCACCGCAATACTGAACCCGTAATTATGATACATAGGTAGTAGGATGTGAATATGTTCCTCTCGCCAGTCCCAATTCGAGTCCATTCGTTGCATGACCAAGGTTTCGAGGACACTAAGACATTTACATATTATTTAATACATACAGAGGGGCACCTGATGCAGTGGCAAAAAACGTATCATTTTGCATCCGGGAAGTATCAAAAATGTGGCAAAATTTCTCCTTCTCCAACTAAAAAAAACTCCGTTATGAAAAAGAGCTTTTGAAATCGGAGTTTTTCCGCTTGGCGAGGGAGGTATTTTACTGCATTTTTCATACTTCTCGGATGCAAAATGGTACTTTTTTGCCACTGGATCAGGTCCTCCAACAGTATGAAGGTTAAATTAATCTTATCGCCGCACTTTGAGCACTTAACATCCACTCACTTTCTGAGAATAATGATCATCGACCAGTAGCCGCGATGACTCTGAATGACTCCTTTTGGAGGGCCAGTGGTTCCACTGGAGTATGGTAAGAACGCCACGTCCTTGTCGATATCGACCGGACCTCGGACATTCTTCACCTGAGGTGAGTGCTTTACGACTTCCTCGAACCGAATGACGCCCGAAGGCAAGACCCCGTTGTATTCTCCGCAGAGAATGATTGTCTGAAAAGATGAGGATGATTTGAGTGAGGTCGTAAATTTAAAGATAGCGGTTATGAACGACGTCGTATTTTACCTTCCTAAGACTATGTTTAGCTCTGCGAAGCAACTTACCTTGACTCCTGGACACTTCTTTTGGGCGTCGAGAACGTTCTGAAGCGAGTAATCCATGCAGAAAACCACGTTGGCTTTGCTGTCGTTGAACTGCTGCTGGAGCTCAACTGAAATGAAAAACGAGGCGTTAATAAGCAGTCGAGTACAAGGGATGACTTTTTATAGATAATGCGGGCATCGTGAGAGCGATTTTTGGATTGCCGCTGGCAAAAAAAATAAAAAAAAGTTGCCTTGAAGAGTATGAAAAGACAATTATTAAAACTTTGTAGTGGTATAGAGGTCTATTTTTAACTAGTTGATCACAAATTTGCCGCAAATTTAGCGATATAAGCCAACTTTTACTCTATAAACAAATTTTTTTTGATTCAAACGTGACGAAAACACTCTTATTATGACATTACAGAGGTATATGCATATACAAGTATGTACTAGTTAACAACGTAAGTCGACTTACACTCTCCAAACAGCGGACTCGCCCCACTCAACGCTCCGCCGACGATACCGCACGCCAAGAAAGCCGCGAAATACTCCCAGGAGTTCCTCATCACGGCACATGCAATGTGCTTGTTGCCGAAGCCTTTTTCCTCTAAAAAGGCGGCCAACGAGTACGATTTGTAGTACAGTTCGTGGAACGTGACTTTGGCGCCGGTCTCCGCATTGATCTGAAATTGATGTAATTTTAAGCTGTATTAAAACACAATCGAATGATGTTTTTACTGATTGTAGTTGTGGCCTAAGAACGATAGTCAGATTTTAATAAAACTTGGAGAAGTTTAGGCTAAGACTTTATAAGAAATATGCGAGATTCCTAAGTCGTGGCTTGCAAAAACCACCGAGATTTTTAGATCGAAAGTTAGCAAAAATATGGCACCTTTTTTCAAATTTTGGCATGCAAAGTTTTATACTTGTTTCTAGCATGTTTCCACAAAAAATCATTTTTTTCCAAGGAAAACGGGCCAAACCATGAACGGCTAAAAAAGTCTTCCTTCTAACCGCCTCGGCTAATTGTAAAACAGCTGAATATCTTCCTACAAGCTACCAGGTTCACTACAATTGCTATCCTCCTTTTGCCAGCTCACTTGGCCGTAGAGATCGTTGAATATCTCGGCTACTATTGCAAAGCGAAAGCTAAAATTTTCAGGCCTTACTATGGGTTCTATGCCTAATATGTGTGTCTAATTTTAGACAGAATTTGAGCAATGCCTTGGAAAAAGGTCATAATTCCAGTTGCCAGTAAATAAAGCTATCAGTTTGCCGGGAAAATAATGAGCGTCGCTGAAGTACAAAGCAATTTGAGGCAATTAATTTTCCCAGCGGCGATGCGACTTTCGTGCTCATTACTCTCCCGACAGACTGAAATTTTATCTAAAACCTACAAAAGCCGGCCGGTCCGGTGTTTGTCTTCCGTATTTCCAGATGGCGTCGAGAAGTTCGTCACAAATTGGTCGGGTCCCGATCGGCACTGGCGGATAGTTCGATTTGTATATCGTCATTGTTCGTTGTTCTGTAAGCTCGAGAAAATTCATGGTTTTAAACGCAATTTACGATATGATTTATATGAATAGGCGAGGTTATAAATCTCTCCGGGTCAATGATCACGGCTTCGCGAACAAGGTTATAGATGATTTCTCGTTCTCGGCAAATAATTTGTAATAAAGTGATACAAAGCAACTGTCTGCAGAGCTCTTTTTTACTGTTATTACTTAGAATTATGATAGGCGTTTTTTCATCAATATTTTTACTGTAAAATTTCTCTTGAAAAATGACAGTTTAGTGTCATCAAAGAACACTGAAAAACACATTTTTTGCAATAAATGTTGCTGTAAAAAGTCTGTTAGAAAAATAATGAGCAAAATATCGCTGCGCCAATCGCGTCGCTGAAGTAAAAAGCAATTTGATTTTGTGGCGACAGAATTTATTTTTTTGAAAGCGATGCGATTTTGGATTGCAGGAGAGTGCTCATTATTTTCCCGACAGACTGATATTCCGCTCGTAAAGTCGCTCAAGTCGTTTCGGCGACACAATGCTAAAAGTACAAGATAGAATAGTGTTGAGTGCACCTGTCTTTTCTCGCAGTGAATGTCGGAAAATCACTCCAGCGAATTTGCGAACGGACTAGTAAGAGTCTTTGCCAGGGTCTTTGTAGGAAAAAATTGTTTCTTAACTTTGACCCATCTATCTGTGTGTCGGGAAAACAATGAGCACAATGACGCTGTGTCAATCGTGTCGCTCAAATGAAAAGCGATTTGATTTTCTCGCAACACAATTCATTTTCGGCGATGATGCGATTTTCGATGCGACAGAGTGCCCATTACTTTCCCGACAGCCTGATACCTAGTACGCGTCACCTGAATGGACACTGTATTCTGAACGCGGCACTGCCCATCTCCGTGGCCAACCCCAAGCCCCGCAAACTCTCCCGCGCACTCGCCACACAAGAGACGTTAACGATTAAACAACCATCAATTCAGGTGGAACAGAAAGCCGTGAACACGGGCGCCGATAGCGCGTCAATTCGATTAAAACCCTTCCAAATTAAGTGACACGCCAACGATTTACAGTGAGAGGGGTGGTAAAACACAACAATTGTGGCTTGCGCGACCGTAATGCAACAACCGAAACATTATCGGTTGTTATAGCCGTGAATGGCTCGCATAAATCTTCGCACAGACTGGACATGTTTTATTGCGCAGTGATAAATTTCGGGGGGTGTAACACCGCGTTTTATAGGGCAAGTTGCGGCGGGCTGTAACAGGATTAACGGCCGCGACCCTGTTTTCCGACAGTTGTTTGTTTTGCCAACGCGATTTTAACGAGGTGCACACAAGACGTAACAGGAAATGGGCAGGATGACAATGCGATTTAAAAAACCGTTGAGTTCAAGGCATACATGTCAGGCAAAACTTTAAAGAATCAGGCAGATTTTTCAATATGTCTTTTTGTGACAAGCAAAGGCTCTAAGAAATCTCCGTTGGCCAAAGATTTGCCAACGAGGCCAATGACAAACTGAGAAGTTTGTCGGGAAAATAATGTGGATTTGACGCAGTAAAATATCCCGCCTTAGACGTGCATCAAATCTCCAGCCGCCGCTAGCCCTTCGCAAAGCTAGGATGGGAGAGTCAAAGGCGCGACAAATCCATATTATTTTCCCGACGGACTGATATATAAACACTACTCAAAAAATATAGTTTTGACATGGATTTTTCCCATTTTTTTGCGTTTGCCACTGCGATTTTCCGCGCTATCCACATGAATTTTCAAGCAGGAATCAACGATATTAATGATGACATAGAGGCTTGTAAACTGTAGGACCTTTATGTCATTAGTAGTACTTCGTTTAAAAATATCTAAACAGAAACATTACAAAGCTTTCGAAACGTTCTGAAAAGTCAACCGGTAAATGTCAGCTAGGTGGGCTCCGTTTACAAAAATATATATATAGGTGGGCTCCGTTTCCAAAAATAATATATCTGGCTGTCGAGAAAATAATGCGGATTTTTCGCGTTTTGAAATCACTAAATCATCCATCATCCCTTTGCGACAGCTAGCCGCGGCTGAAGAACCGATGCAAAAATTTTTTGCTGCTATAAATCCACATTATTTTCCCGACGGATTGATATTTTTTAAGCGAACGTTGGACAAAAAAATAAATCCAAAAGTTCCTCCCTACATCCGACATGCACTAACGCTACAACAAAACTCTTGCCAAAAAGAAAGCCCGTTCCGACTCTTCATCCCCCACAATTTTTACAAATTTAAAATACTCCTGCAGCAAGGTGACAAAAACACTAACTTCCCCGGCTCCCGGGGCTGATCATCTATTACAACCCGTGATTATTTTTTAATAGTTCATTCTTAACATGTCTTCCTGCCTCTGAGTGAACTTTTAGCGGATGAGAACCGTAGACGAATTTTTCTTATCGATTGAAGCTCTGTAACAAACTCTTTTTTACACCCAAACACACTACGCGTCTCAGAAGGCCTAGGCATGGCTATTGGACCCGATTGGGTCATCATAATCATGGTGACTTAGGCGAGATGCACTATGAAAAAATTTCACTTTGCACTGTCCAATTTTCGGCTTTTTGCACAGTGCAATAGGCTTTTTTGGGCTGTCGCTTGAAACCTGGCTTTTTTGCACAGTGCGAACGCCAAGAATTACTCCAGCGAGTTTGCGAACGGAATATTTGCATTTTCACAAAGTTCCTGGACATTATTTCGCTTTCGCACAGTGCATCTTGATTTTTTCTCGTCAACGCGGGATTTTTGCCTTTGGGCACCGTGCAAACCTCAAAACAGCCGACTGCTCGCAGCGATACCTCAAATGCACAGTACAAGATCGAAAAAATGTGAGTGCACGGTGCAAAAAATCTGGGGGTTTTGTGCACGGTGCGGACCGCGACAAATGTCAATGCACTTCGTGAAAATGTTAGTAGTCCTTCCGGAAAGTAGTCGGAATAATTTTTGGCGCTTGCGCAGTACGAAAAAGGTTAGAGTTTGAGCGACAGCTCAAAAAAGCCTATTGCAAGGTGCAAAAAGCAATAAATTGCACAGTGCAAAGAGAACTTTTTTTTTGTCACAGTGCATGTCTCCGATTTTAGTCATGCTATTTTCCGGTACCAGTAGTTTTAAATCCCAACACAAATCCCCGATTTCTTCGACAGCAACCTTTCAGATCTTGATCTGCGTTGCAACACAAAACAGCCACCGCTATGTTTTCGAATGCCACACTTTGCCGGCTGTAAGTTATCAAATGTGTCAAGCGTGTGGTTATCAATCACTCCGCCTCTTCGCTGTAATATTATTGAAAAGCGTCAGTTTTTAAAGACGGAAACAATTATGGAGAATAATTGGAAATGGAAGAGCAAAAATCTTCACACCACAACGGAGTTTATTGGAAATACCTCTGTTATTGGTTGTGAGAAGGATCAATCAAATGGGTAAATAGGAAAATTAAGTGCAAGATCAGGAACAAACTACGTTAAGATTAGCAAAAAAGGACTGCTTTCTAATATGAGAGCTGCTCAAAGTCCGAGACACAGAATCTGCTGAACTTGGGGAAAATTTAGAATAGGTCTTTTTAAGACATATGCAGGACTCCTAACTAGTCGTTTTCAGAAACGACCGGGATTTTTATAGGGAAATTTGACCAAAATATTGCATTTTTTGTGAATTATGGCACGGTAAGTTGTAGGTTTGATTAGGTACATATTTCTATACAAATCAATTTTTTCTCTTTTTCGATTGATAAGGTACATGTTTCTATACAAAACCAATTTTTTCTGCGCGAAACTGGCAAAAATATGGTCAAAAAAGTGTTTTCTCTCTGACTGCACTCCGCATTTCGTCTGTTCTCTCGGCCATAAAAGTCGTTGAATATCTGGGCTCCCCCTGGAAAGCGCAAGCTAGAACTCTCAGGAAATGATACAAGACCATTGCCCTATGTGCCTACAAAATCTCAAGAAACTCTGACAATTGAGAGCGTCGCATTTCAGAGACGTCCTTTATAGGCCAAAAATCAAAAAAAAAACCCCCGCAAAAATCAGCGAAAACTACCCCTCTCGTAAGACTAAATGCTAGAGAATACATTGTGGTATACCGCCGCTATATACGTCCTCCGCTGTAAACCCAAACTGCGAGTAGTTTATGTTAGCGAATGCCCAGTGAACCCGGTTAAATCTGTGTTGACTTTTGAAACCGACACAACCTTAATTTGCAAGCCCAAAGTAAAGTCACCCAAAAAAAACTTTACACCTTCGAAGGCACAAGAATTATATTCTACAGTGATTCGCGGTCATTTTCACTCTTAATTTATCTAAAATTGATAATATAACTACATATATTATCTAATAACCCCATGAGTTAGCGGAACTATTTACTTCCACAACGCCCTTCAATGTCACTCGGTTTGAGTGTAATTCGACAATTCTTCGAATGCCCTTTGAGTGTTGCATCCATCCCTTCTTCAGACGAGCCGTTTGATGGGCGATATTACTGCGCATTATTACACTGTAATGATCTGCTATTTCTAGCGAACTGGGAGAAGATTTGTTGCGGGGAGAATTTGGGAAGGTTTCTTGGCATTTACAGGGTGATTCAAAAAAAATGGACACTTTTCTTTCTTCGATTTTTCTTGGCTTTGAATGTTTCTGGTAAAAAGGTACACATGGCATAAAACTACTACGTTATGTGTACATATTCATTGCAAAAATTGTTCACTAGCTGCAAAAGTTGCCGAGATATGGTTGCTTAAAAATTGCCGGGTCAGCGCACCCGTTCCCGCGGCGAAATTTGCAAAGTTTTCGCTCATAAATGTCTGAAGGGTGTAACAGAGACGTTCTGATCGGTCTGAGCGAAACACAGACGCCTATTCTCTAGGATCTTTAAAGGATTTAATACAGGTCTTTCAGACAATGAAAAACCAGAGGCCAAACGTTAGACAACCAGCGAGGGAAAATCAACGCTCATTTGGGCGCTTTTTGAAAAACTTAGCTCTGCCAAAAGTGGTCAAAGTTTTAGAACCAATTCCATTTATACCACGTTTACTGCTCTATTGTGAGTATATTAAACGCATTTTTAACAATCGTACCCTTCAATTAACAAAACTGCAAACAAAATTCCGACTTTTTTTGACTTTTGATGGGTCATCGCAATGATACGCGGATTCTGAAGGCTAGGTTTGTTCAAATTAACGGAGACCAAATTAAAATTGAAGAACGGAGTTTTATCACTATCGTATAAATGCAGCCTGTCGTAGTTGTGTGTCTTGTTGAAGAACGCCAACAAAAAAGTAAAATTTTTCTGGTCAAGAAATATCGGCGTCTCTGGGTATAGCCGGCTAAACTTTTATAAGCACAGTACATGGCTAATGCAAGTTACAATCAAATCAACTGCTGCCCCATGTAAAGCAATGTTTGATGTCTTACAGAAATCACTTTTTGCCGTTATTAGCACAAGCCAGGCCGCCCTGTTAAGTTTTGAAACTCGATCATCCCAAAAATCCAGAACTATGTGGATGGGTCTCTTGTGGATCACGTTGCGAATTGCTGGGGCGTTATTAATAGAATAATATCAGCGCTTTCCCTTCTCTAGATTCCCCTTAGTATCGTAATAAACAGTAAACACGCAGTTTTTAGCTGGCTGTAAGAATTCAGGCCGTTAAAGTTCTTTGGACCTACAAAATTCTTGGAAAATGTGGTCAGAATATGGGCTGACCTAGTATTTTGGCTCGTACAAGCCGTTCAGCAAAAATATTTTAAAAATTGAAATAGGTGTCATAAAGCAGGATCGTTGACGATTGTAAGACTATTTTTCTTTCCACCGACTACGGTATTCGCGGTGGGATAAACCGACTTCAAAATTTGTCCATTTTTTTTGAATCACCCTGTAGACCACACAATACGAGCATGATCGAAGTTTATTGTTTGCTTCATGGGATGTAATAACTCATGATCTTTCAAGTTCTTCATCCATGATGTAGTGAAACTGCATTCTGAATTATAGGACCTCCCGCTGCAAAGTCCAGAATTTTTTTTAAAAGTGCCGACGATAGACCATTTCAGTTCTAGAATTTTTTAACTCGAGCTTTGCAGGGGCAGTTGAAATATTCCACGATAGTTGCAGCCGAAAGAGCAACATGAACAGTAACACAGAGAGAAAAGAACCTTTTGGCCATTGGCGATTTTGCCACCTCCGAAAGAAACAGGAAACTTTTTTATGAAGACATTACTTGCCGTATGCAACCTGCGATGTCAAAATTAGCAAAGAAATGCCGGGGTTTTGCCTGTTTTCTTACTAATCAAATGGTTATATCATTTCACCCTAGGCCATAATTTTTTCGGGAATCGTTGAACCCATCCCATCCCGAGTTGCCCAAGCGGTCATGTGAAGTCCATTTCATTTGGATTGCTGCCTTTTCTAACCATTGCTCGAACTGCTCCAATATCCCGGACTGAACTGGCGTTGAACAGTAGGAACTTGACATCCATTACGATTAGTAGCTACTGTCATAACGAAGCTCTTTGTGTCAGCATGGGTGGTCAAGAAAGACCATCCGTTCTCCAAGGGGAATCGCTAAGGCCGCAGAGCTTTACTGCTCAAAGCTGTGCGATACCGCAAATTAGCAACCCCTCATTAACTCTGCATACGCGAGACCGGTAGACAAGACATGCGATCGCAGAAGTTGAACATAAATTGATTCGCTCATCAAAGAGCAGGTAACTGAACCAGAAGTACTACAAATATTGTTTTAAGTCGAATCAATTTCACAGACTACGAGGGCTTACATGTATGCAATTCCGAGCGTTTCGTTTGAATTTTTCGTTCCGAATCTCATCGTTACTGCGCCTAATGTGATTACATCCCCAATCTTGATCGTGTTAACAGTCAATTAAACTTACAGAGTTTCTAAAAAAATAGATAGTTATAAAAACTTATTGTACTTTCCGAACTGATTTTTGATTGTTAAAAAAAGTTGGGGAACTTTCAATTCTTTGGAAAAACGAAGCCGAATCCAATGGTTCATTTGGTATGCGAAGCTGCAATTACAGCGTTTCTTGCGGATGACTGAAGTCATACGGGATTCGCAAGGTTTCAGATACGATTAGACAATTCAGCCAACGTCAGTTGCTGTAAAGTTCCATTCGGTACGATGTCTCGGATTTTACTCATGGGAGCGGAAACTCTTGAAAAATCTGCGGGTTTTGTAGCTTAGGCTTTTAAATTTACATTCTATGTATTTTGAAGTCAAATGATATGCCGTAGCGGTGCCCACAACACCCCAATGCCCTATGCAAATTTTCGGAGCATAGTAAGGAGAATGTCCCAAATACAACGCCTATGTTTGCTTCAAACTTTGTGCGCGCACTGGCAAAAGGCCCACATCAAACTCTGTATATTTTAGCTCGCGCTTTGCAGAAGCAATCAAGGTGTTCAACTACGCTTGCCAATGAGAAAGTAGGCAGAGTAGGCGAAACACGGGGCGGTAACAATACTTTTTGGCCATTTTTCTCCATTTTCGTGCGAAATTCTATTCTGTTTTGTGAAAAATTACTTGCTGCGGTTAGAACAAGTGTTGTGTCGCGAGATTAATTGCGAAAATTTTAACTCTTAGGCCGAAAAAAAGTTTTACCTTATAGTAGCATACCTGATCTTATACCAAAAATAATGAAAGTTTATGACTGAAGTCAAAGTTTTAAAACTATCTATGTGAGTTGAGATGGCTTTCTAAGACTATACTGAGCTTTTGGAGTTGGTTTCAACTTCGCTGCGCCAATTTCAAAAATGGCCAATATCACCTAAAACAAGGTTCTTAGAACAGCTTCTAAACTGGTGCGGATGCCACTAATTATGTTCTTATTGTCTTTTTAGATCATAGTGGACCTAGCTGAGTCAAAATTTACCGATTTTTAAAATATTATTTTAGTCACCTAAATATCAGTTTTTTTGGAAATTTGAGTGAGTAAGCTAGTATATGACACAGGGTTGCTTATAGTTCTATAAAACTACTCTAATTATGCTCACAGAAAAAAGAATTTAGGCAATTGCTTCGTTACGAAACGATTTAGTAGCAAAAGATGTCTAAAGTAAAGTTTTCAAATCTACTACTACTACTATTTTTTGGTCAGTCCGACTCGTTTCCAATTTTTAATTTGAGCTACCCTTGGGCACCCTAACAAAGTTATGCAAACAGTTTTCCCGATTTGAAACTTTTTTTTTGTGGTTGATGTGTGTCGTATTTACCACGTGTCCCGAATTTTCGGGCCGACGACATTTCGGCTAAACAGAAATATACGACGAGATGAGGTGCAAGGCATAGGTTGAGGCGCAAAGAAAGTTTGTACATAGTAATTGCCTACGAGGCTTGACAAAGCCGTTGGATCTTTGGCGGACGCTCGACGGAGACTTGGCAAATTAAAGACTTCCAATATGACCAATTTTTCTAACCATAGCTATGCCTTGTTTTCTTGACCCTGCGTTTCATGCTTGCCTTACTTTGAACACACCATTGTTATTATACAGTAGTTACAAAGTTATATCACGGAAATCAAAGCAAGTTTATTCACCTTACATAAAAATAACAACTAAACATCGTAAAGGAACAAGTGAAAGTCACAGTGATATCTATACAGCCTGAGATGAGCTTTTGTTCTGTAAGCGTTTTGGACCCTATTCCCTTCCGCGGGAAGCCGTAAAGCACTTGAGATCGGTGCTGTTGCGTAAACGTTGTGTAGGCACAGGCGGTTCGATTTTTACCGGTTGAATGGAAGCTCCAACAAGGCGTTGGAGGGCTTCAATAACTTCAAACATTTTCATTGGCTCCTCAAACATTATCCTTGGGGTCGGCCTCATCCAGCCCGCTCAGTTTGGCGACCGATTCGCGCGCCGTCTGCACACCACTCGGCTTCGGCGCCGCGATCCGTGCGCTGGCGTCCGCCGACTCCGGGAGCTTCTTGTTCGTGAAGAATTGGAGGAATAATTGCTTGAACGTGGGGTTCAGCCATGCATACAGCACCGGGTTTGCCACATTCGTCAGCATGGCGATGCTGAAAAGAAATGCCGTCATGACATGGAGTCGGTGCATAATTAAGCGAATTATTGTGTTGGCGGCGGGACAAAGCTTTAATTTTAGTGTTCCGCCGGCCAGAAGACGGTAGTGATATCGCGGAAATGCGTAAATAAATTAAACCTTTATACTGTGTCAACAAAGAAATGCTCGTAATCTTCCAATAACTTCCTCATCCGTACGGATGCAGAGAAGAGTCAATAGCGAATGAGGAAATTGCATTTATTGGGTGAAAACGGTAGGAAATCCTGGAGCTATTCTAATCGTTTGAGCATAGCCAGACAGTCTGCTCGATGTAAACAACAACCAGACTGTCTGCTGCAATGATTTTCGAGCCCTAAGCGCATTGTCTTGCAGAAACCGGCCGTATAATTTTTACGGACAGACTTGTAAGTGCGACGCTCATATTTTCTTTAAACTTTTCACACAACTTTGGCATAGGCTAGGTATCAATTCCTGAAAGTTTCGGCTCGCGCTTTGCAGGGAGAGTCGAGATATTCAACAAACTTTGCGGCCGAGAGAGTGCGCGAAATGCGGAGAGCGGTCAGAGAATTAGAGAAAAAACATCTTTTTGGCTATATCTCTGCCAGTTTTGCCCAGAAAAAATTAAATTTTTGTTGGAAAATTTGTCTCTACTGTAGAAATAGGTACAAAACTTTACACGCCAAAATTCGCAAAAAAGTGTCGCATTTTTGTCAACTTTTGACCTATAAATTTCGATTTATTTTGCAAAGCGCGCGCTAAAAATCTCATATATGTCTTAGAAAATACTGTTCTAAATTTGTGCCAAGTTTCATCAAAATCTGAGCGCCGCACTTGGAGCACTTCCCTTGTGAGTAAATCGACCGCAAGCGCCGACAAAACATACGAAATACTGCAAAAATAGATGCTGCAAAATCCTTACCTATGAGCAATCATTGAAACCAAATATGTGTAATTCTTAGCGCCATGACTAAAGATCTCATCGTCGTATTCCAACATCAGCGTCACGATATTTTGCGGCAGCCAAGTGAGTCCGAAAATCAACACCATTGACGCCAAAATCGTGGTAGTGCGGCGTTGCTGCGCCAACAAGTTGGCGCGTTGCGTGTCGTCGCCGTTCTTCAGCTTGACACTGTCCTTCTTGTCCAGCGCCTGATGAATATTCAGCAGCTGCGAGCGCTCGTCCAACTTCTTCAGCTTCGAGTTGGCGCGCTCTCGCAGCTTACTGAAGATGGTGCTGTAGCAAAAGCTCATCGTGACGAACGGCAGGAGGAATTGCATGATCAGCACGACTAGCGCGTAGCTGCGCTGCATCGACTTGGAGGGCCAAATCTCGGTGCAGAACTGGAAGAGAGGATCAATTAGATTAGGGGGTGACATTTATTTTTAGAAATGTCAAATCTCTGCTGACATTGGCCACCGTATTCTCAAGAGGCTTTCGAAAGGGGGGATTAATGATGAGAGGAGTAGGGTTAAGCGGCAATAGCTCACGTAGAAGTTGATATCTTTTTCCTACAGAGAAAATAATGAGCAAATGTCGCCGAATCGCGTCGTTGAAGTGAAAAGCAATTTGATGTTGCCGCTGTTTTTAGAAACAACTCATTTTCTCGGCGGCGATGCGATTTTTGTTGCGACAGAGCGCTGATTATTTTCCCGACAGACTGATATCCAGCTGTCTCCAAAATCACTTCAGTGACGTTGCAAAAGGACTGCAACTTTGAGAAAAATCGGATATCTTTACCGTCTTGAGACTAGGTGGATATCATCTTGTCGGGAAAATAATGAGCGCTCTGTCGCATCAAAGAGAATGAATTGTTTTGCGACAAATTCAAATTGCTTTTCACTTCATCGACGCGGTCGAGTTATGCTCATTATGCTCATTTTGGGAGGTTTATAAAAGTCGTTATATAAAGCCCTAACATATGAAACATATATCGTTAGATAGCGTTTTCAGCGTTCTTTCAGATACTCTAAACAGAAACTGCAAAGTTGTATTTCAACCTGTGAAAAATGCAATACAAAAAATGACAAGGTCATACTCCTAGACCTAATATTTTCCCGACAGACTGGTATTACATAGGCTGCTAAAAATTGTGTCAACCGTAGTCGGTACATTTTTTCTGGTTGTTTACTCCTCTGCTTCTCTTAAAGCTCTCTTATTTTGAAATAGATTCCCTCAAGCTTTATCTTTGCTTATCCGACCCACCAATCATCATAAACCCCCGATTAATCTTTCCTTCTTTCCTCAACCGTATGCCGTTGAAGGCTTCCAATCTTCTATGTACTTAGAATTTCTACTTTTTCTACTTACGCTAATGTCATACTCTTTTTTTGCGAGACAACTAAGAGCTTACTTATGATGTCTCCGCAGGAAATAACAAAAGCAATAGCGTCTCGCCAAATTGCATTATATGTAATTTACCCCCAAAGTGCAACTGAACTCACCTGTCCGCAAAGTTCCTCGTACGTCTCGAGCCGCATGTAGTAGGCATAGGGCAGCGAAACGACCACACTGAGCACCCACAACACCACCGCCACATTTCGCGCGCCATGGATGGTCAACGGTCGAGCGTGCGGCCTCACCACCAAGTTGTAGCGATCTATGGCGATCGCCGACAACGAAAACGTCGAGACGAATATCGAAACGGCCTGAACCAACGGCAGCAGATGGCAGATGGGCTGCCCGAACATCCACACCTTGTAGATGCTCGTGACGGGCGTAAAGGGCAGTGAGAGGAGGCAGACAATCACGTCGGATATGGCCAGGTTCAGGATGAAAATATTTTGGACTGTGCGCAGATGATGATATCGGAGTGTGAGGAACATGATGGACAGGTTGCCGATGAGGCCGAGGACGAAGATATGCGTGTAGACGATGGCGAAGAGGGTCATCGCGACCTCCGAGTTGGTGGGGTCGGGGTTCTTGTCCGAGTAGTACTGGCATTGGTCGCTTTCATTGCCCTGGCTCATTATCTGCAACAAAAACGAATGTACTATATACCATATTTACTTCGGACAAATGCCATTTCCTTCACAGACAAAAGCCCTCGAAAAAAAACAAAGAGCCCGGAAAAGTGCAACAATTTATACTGTATGTAGAGCCGGCGGCGGGGGGAAAGTATAAAACAGACTAATCGTAAATTTTAGAATACCCACCCTGGGGCCATCGTGAGACCTCTCATTGTTCGCGGCCAGTGAAATCTGACAAAAAACGTGGGAATTTCTTTTGTTTTGAGTTGTAAAGAGAGGGCGAAACGGAGAACGGATTCGACAAAACCTCCACTCTCAAAGGGTTAATCTGCGGGGACGAAAACGGTCCCCCCGTCCTTCTTCTCAGGATTACAGGAGCTTGCAGGTCATCATGTGAAGATAGGGCCGCTAGGACTTTGAAATCTTGAAGGAACTACGTGTCGCGAGGAGGGACGGTGGACTGAGGAGCTTGGAATTTGAGGAATTTCGGGGATTTGGGGGGTGAAATAAAGGCCTGTCAAAGAGGTGGGTCTTTCTAAAAATTTCAAAATTCTCGTCCTTATTCTCAAAGAGGAGGCAATATTAGTGTGTCGGGAAAATAATGAGGATTTGTCGAAGAAAAAGAACTTTTAAACATTATTTTCCCGACAGACGGATATTGCGGGAAAAGTGGTATAAAATGAGAGCAGTGAGTCATATCAGTCTGTCTGGAAAATAATGAGCACTCTGTCGCATGGAAAATCGCAGCATCGCCGAAAAAATTTTTTGTTGCGACAAAATCAAGTTGCTTTTCACTTCACCGACGAAATTGGCGAAGCGACATTGTGCTCATTATTTTCCCGACAGACTGATAAAAGTCCTAAAAGCGAGGGGTTATTCGAATTTCCAGTGATTTTGATGACTAAACAGCTTATATTGTCCCTATCAACAAGCCTTCGAGGAATGCTGAAAGACATGTGGCATTTCTTGAAGGCCTCTATGTGCCATAACCCCTAATCGGTCCAAAACAACCAAGCCAATGTCGGGATTTTTTGTAATAAAAGCTCTTGCAAAACACCCTCCGTTTACTGTCAGATATCATTACAAAATTTTTAATATCCACACCGCCACACCCACATTTCTTTTGTGGTGGATATCGCCGCCACAGATGAAAAATCGGCTCTCTTTAGACCGTATACATTGATCAACAACCCCAAAATTTCCCCAAATGCGACACTAATCCGCAAGTGTTCCTAGCTTGGTACTCTGGTGCAATAATAAGCGTAGACTCTAATCGCAAAATTGGCCTGAACTTTTGTCCTCGGGTGAAGCCTAAATTTCGCAAGATTATAAAATGATGACAAAACTAGCTGATGACGTATTTTAGCGTGCACGTAGGATTTTTAGAGTTAAAACAGACAGTAAATCAAAAAAAAATGTCTGATAAAAGCGTTAGAGGTACAGTATCACCCTTGATCACTTAAATTTTCTCTCAAAAAAAGGATGATAAAGGATTGACTGACAGTGTAAGTACTCCAAGTGCGACGCTCAGATTTTGATGAAACTTGGCACAAATTTATAATATTTTTTTCTAAGATATAGCTCGCGCATTGCATAAACGACAGAGATTTAAAGTCGGCCAAATTTCAGGACTTTTTGCCGAATTTCGGCTCGAAAACTTTCAAGCCTATTTCTACCATAAAGGATAATGTTTCTACAAAAAATCAAAATTTTCCGCTCGAAACTGTCAAATTTCGGCGGCGCCGGCAAAGCGCGAGCCAAAACTTTCAGGAATTGATATTTAGTCCATACCCGACGTGCGTGCAAAATTTAAAGAAAATCTGAGTGTCGCATTTTTCAGCTCACGTTTAAGATGAAAACGGTAAAAAGGCTAATCTCCGTAAGACGTTAATTTTCATAGTGAACCCAGAACTCTGTACCATTTTCGTAGAATAAACACGATGCTGCAGGGCAAACAGGAAATGTTACTCACGCCTATTATTTTTTTTGCAGAAAATTTTGGGAAATCAACGTACGATAAAGGCTTCCATGTAAAGCGAAATGGCGGAGGATCGTTTAGGGAGGGCTTTCTGAGGGTTCAACAAAAACAGGGATCGTTTGGGGAGGGGACTTTTCGGGGGTCCCTTAAGAGCGGTACGTAAGCGAAAATTATTGATTAAATGTATTAAAAAGGTCAGCGCTAATTAGTATGATGGGCCGCTGCAGATATACGGGGGTTCAAGAAGATAGATGAAAGTGCAAACGAATCAAAAGAGACTAGACAGCGTTTAATATCATGAATAAGGTCAAAGACGACGTAAACTCGCATGTTTGACAAAAGTATGAGGTTAGTGCTGGGATTGTAGCCAAGCTACATTATTCAATGGGATGTGTAGGACATTACTTTAATAAAAAGTTTCCAATTTTTTGGTTGTAACAGACATTAAAGCCTTACTTAAATCTTGTCTGAAATGGTTAAAATTTTGACAAAAGAATGAGCAAATTTTTCAACAAAAACTGTTCGAAATGTAATCAAAAAAGATCAAAATTTTAGGTCGAAAAAAATATTCAAATTTCAGCAAAAAAAATTAAAATATAAGTCAAAGAACCTCAAAAAAAAATATTTGCTAAAATTGAAAGAAAATGAAAAATCTACCATAATAAGCAAACACACGTGCTGTCTACAACAAAAACGTCATTTGTGATGCCTTCTTCATTTTATCCAATTAGCCGTGGCCTTTGCGACAATGGGAGTTGAGGGGAACACGGTGGAGGAAACAACCGTGTTTGCAGATTAATTGAGAAGAATGGTGGATAAAAAGGTGATGTAAAAAAGATGAGTGTCAAAGCAAATAATAATGCGACATTTTGAAAAAAAAGTTTGGGGGTTTTAAAGAATATTTTTTTCAGGATAACAAGGGAAGTACCCCCAAATGCGACGCTCAGATTTTGATGAAACTTGGCACAAATTTAGAAAAATTTTTTCTAAGATGCATGCGAGAATTCTAGCTCGCGCTTTGTAGAAGCAACCGAGATTTTTAGATCAAAAGTCGGCCAAAATTTAGGACTTTTTTCCGAATTTCGGCTCGAAAAGTTTCATGCCTATTTCAACCGTAAAGGATAATGTTTCTACAAAAAATCAAATTTATCCGCTCGAAACTGCCAAAGCTATGGCCAAAAAGCGCTTTTCCCTCTGACCGCTCTCCACGTTTAGCGTTCTCTCTCGGTGGCAAAAATCGTTCGATATCTCGGCGGCGCCGGCAAAGCGCGAGCTAAAACTTTCAGGAATTGATATTTAGTCCACACCCGACGTGTGTGCAAAATTTAAAGAAAATCTGAGCGTCGCACTTGGAGTACGCCCTTGTAAGTATAATATAATTTTAATATTTATTTTCTGCAAAATTTTCTTATAATATCTCAATACAGAATGCGTTAGTTCTTAAAAATTTCAGCTCCTACTTTGCAAGCGCTGCCGAGATATTGAGCTGTCTTTTCGCGAGAGAGCATGTAAAACGAGGAGAGCCGGCTAGAGTAAAAATAATCTTTTTGCAATAACTTTTTGGATTCTCCTTGAAAAAACATGACTTTTGAGAAAAAATTATACAGCCTATTTCGAAAGAATTGAATTTTTACACTAGTCCGAAACTATCAAATATGTACATTTTGATGACTAATCCAAAAAACATTAATCTATTTCCAAATCACCCTTGTCCCATTCCCCCCGAAAACGTATATCGAGCCATTTACCTCGTCTAATAACCCACTTGAGACAGCTTCGAAATGTTCCAGATTTACAAAACACTTTCAAAAGCGCTAATCCGCCCACAAAAATATCCCAATTCCTGCAGCACGAGAAAATGTCATTTTCCGGGAAATTGCAGAAAACGCCTAATTATGGCATATTGAACCCACAAGCAGGGGGGAGATTCATTAATATTAGCTGCAATCCCGAAAGGACAAGCGGACTTTGGATTAAATCCGATGACAGTCAAGGCGCGCAAAAAACATCCTGTTTTCGATTAATTTTCGAGAAATTTTGAAGTTCGAAATGAAATGAAAGAGTTGAGAATTTTGCAGTCTAAAATTTGGTCTGATTTTTTTGACGAAAAATTTGCATAAAAACGGAGTTTTTGGAGATTTTCAAAAATCGGAAAAATTTTTATTTATTTTTTTTTTTTGAAAAAGTTGTGATTTCCGCAGCTTTCAATATCTTGTAATCAAACAGAGTAATCAGTAAACAGAAACCATCCTGAAACATGTCAAAAAACCTCGACTGAAGCTTGCAATATCCCCTTAGCGACTTCAGCAAGATTAATTTCTTTGGCTCCGCCCACTGCCAAAGATCCCCCTGTATTGTAGGAAGCAAAAAAACTAAAAATCCGAAAAGTTAACACCTACTTCTTACTGCAATAAACTAAAGATTCACCAACTTTCAAGTAAATCCCACTAAATTTGCGATAAATATGCACTTATATTCTCTATGCCCCATTAGATGTGACAAATCCAAAGAAATGACTCAAAATGTTCGGATAATCAAAAAAGCACGGCGAAGAATACAAATATAACACGTTTAGGATGATTTACAGCTATTTCAAGGGGCTTTTGTCCTGAACGCCCCCCTCGAAAACCGTGCGAATAATTCTTCGAGGAGAAAAAATGATTAAATTAGACTTGGTCCAAGAGTGTAGGAGGGTTCTTGTGAACGCCGTTTGCACTCATAAAATACAGAAAAAGGTCGAAAAGTCACACGAGATGGCTTTGAGAATTGATGACAAAGAGCTTTTATCGCAATCTGTTAAAACTCGGATTTTTCAATTATACGGATTTTTTCTATGTAGAATATATTTCAAAGGTAAATTTCGCAAAACATTCTCGTTCGATTTTCTTCAAATTCAGTACGTTTACTGTCAATAGACTATAAATCATTCCCTGAAAATTTCCGCTGACGTTTTCTATCCGGAGCCAAGATAGGCGACAATCTTTTTTGCATGAGAATACAGCGAAAAATGAAGAGAGTCGGTAAGACAAAAAAAAAATCTTTCGCTAAAAGTCTTTTTCAGCTACCACTGAAAGATCAGTAATTTTTGTAAGAATATTATACCACTTTTTACTTGCAACAAAGCCTAATATTTTTAACCAAAAAATTGCAAACAAAGTTGTTGGATTTACGACAAGTTTTGGCCTTAAAAACTATCGATTCTCACTGTAAAATACGACACAACAATCTTGTGTTTTGCTTATAAGGCATAGTCAATATTCATGCAAAATTTCATCCAAATGGGCATGCCCTTATTAGGAAAAAATCAAAGAAAACTCAAAAATCACTTTCAAAGCTTGCAGATATTAGTCTGTCGGGAAAATAATGTGGATTTGCCGCAGCAAAAAGTCTTGCCTCCTCACAATCGCACTTCAAATCTCCGGCCGCGGCTAGTCCTCGCAAAGTGATGAGGTCAATTCCAAGGCTAATTGTTCATTAGCGAATCCACATTATTTTCCCGACAAGCTATCAGGGTGAATCAAAAAATTTTTCCGATTTTTTTATTATAGTATCATATCATAGCGTAAAAACAGAAGAAGCGGCTTAACGCATTGACCCTAAATAACGGCTATTTTTAAGGTTCGACGCTTGTGTTCTCTTTTCATCCTTGCAATTTTCAGACCATGAGAAATATATCCCCACCGCTTTACCCCACGCTCATAACAGGCCCATGTAACATAGGCCAGGCCTATAGCTATGTAACAAAATACTAAAAAATTCAAAAGACGGAAAAGAAAAATCAAAAATAGAAAAAAACAAAAAAAAACTACTGTTCTTTCCGCCGTAGATATACTGTACTTTAACACGGTAATAAAACATTGCCAAACTAATTTCCGGGTGATATAAAATTTGTAGTTGGAATGGACCATGATTAACTCGTGCGCTTTTTTCTGCTCATGCAAGCCGCTGCATGATGAGTATGATGAATTAAACGGGTAAATTATTCATCCCTCAGCATGCGTGATGCAGTGTGCTATAATTTTATAGCACACTGGTGGAAGGAGAAGGGCAGAAAATGATGATTAAAAAGCCAGAAATATGGTGAACCTAGCGATAAAAGAAATGCTGTCAGTCTGTCGGGAAAATAATGAGCACATTGTCGCTGCGCCGATAGGGTCGCCGAGAAGAACAGCAATTTGATTTCGACACAATTCATGTGCTCGGCGGTCGACAGAGTGCTTATTATTTTCCCGACAGACTGATATATTATTATAATAGGTTGGCAAAAAAGTATTTGCCATAATTTTCGAGAAGAATTATGGAAGTTGTAGAACTTTCTACAAGTTTCTATCATGTGACTACATAAGGCTGTGATAAAATGTTTACTGATATGTAACGTGTCCCCATAACGCTGACCAAAGGTGGAAAAATGACCGACCCAAGGTTAGATGTGCCTTACTTTACAGGGCGTCCCAAAAAATGGAACCTTTTTTTCATGGATCCTGACGCGAAAATGGTGTGGTGCAGCCAAAAAACTATCGTAAAAGAATGAAAACCACGGAAGCTGCAACCAAAATCCATAATATTCTGAAGTCTGGAAAACAGGTCTTTTGATACCGACCTAATATTAAAGTTATAAAGCTGCAAAATTTGCCACAAAAATGATGATTATTATTTATTTCATGATTATTATTTATTTCATTTTGCATCTACCAACCTTTTATAAGCTGAATAATGGGTGTGAAAATTAAGGGCCCCCATATTTTCGCCACAACAAATCTGTCAGCTGACGTTATTGAAAACGTTTGAAGAACGTCATCAAGAGGGTTTTGTTGACATCAATCATGTCTTATCAACGCGTTACAACCTTTATTTGCCAACTGTAGAAGAAAAGGCATACGTTGCGTTTGCCGCCTTACACAAAAAGGTCCGGTGGCAGTCAAACTCTAAATCAACTATATATGTATAATTAGTAGACTTCATCGTTATGGGTAGCATTAAAATTGCCCATGAGGGAGGAATATCGTTCTAAACGTTCGTGCTACAAGCTACACAAGAAGTGTGTCGCTCAGACTTTATGGCAAGTCGACACATATTTAGATTATGCTTCTAAGACTTCAACCAGGTTCCTACCTCGCACCATGCAGAAACAATCGTGATTTCTTTGGAAACGGGATAAAGAATGGTCTCTTTTTCGCGCATGTCAGCATGAAAAGTTGTGACCCACAGCACTTGTCTTACAATCAGTTTTTCCGCGCGAAACTCACAGAGATATGTAAGTCCAGAAAAGTGTTTAGAGTGAGGCTAGGGAGGCTAAGAAAGAAATACGTTTTGTTATGAAAAGTGTCACTCCTGTTTGTACTATCGAACATAATGCTTCCAAAAAAACAATCTTTCCCCGCGAGGCTGGCAAAGATATGGCCAAAAAGTGATCTTTCCCCTGACCATTATCCATATTTCACGAGCTCTCTCCACTCTAAAATTTGTTGGATATCTCAGCTGCTCCTCTAAAGTGCAATGTATAGACGGGTTGTTCAGACACAGCTTTCTCTCCACACTTTTCAACAAATCTCTAGAATTCTCTGTGCATTCAGCCATTAAGAACCTTGCGGAGAAGATATGTCGTAATTCGAGCTACAAATGCAGTTAGAATCGTCTACTCCTGCTAAAACGTCAATGCA